AACACCCTGTATCTCCCAAACTAAGCATTTTAGGACATATATTTATACGAACTTTTTCACTTATTTTTATCTGCAGAATATGCTGCCGAAGTTTCCGGAATGCAGTTCGGACCACCCTGTATTACTTTATATTGTTTCAGTACATTATACATATATTGCTTTTGCTGTTTTATTTTATCACAAGCTAACTTCGTGCCACCTAACAGTGAAGTTAATGAAGTGTTTTTTGGTCAATCATGTGGTCTGATTGAGTGATCGACCGAATGCTCTGAAATGATTGAGACCAATTCATTGTTCTCTATATTTTTGTTTACTTTTCAATTCAAGTATTTTTGATATATTTCAGTATCTTTCTAGATTTGAATATTCCATTTTCCCAACTAGTTCCGTTGAATTTCTATTCTGTATGGTCTAGTATACCACAGATTTGCAGTAGACATCAATTATTATTACAAATATGCCGTAAGGGTGCGCGACATCAGCTGTCAAATACGGAGATCCAGACCTAATTTATTTAAAAATTACTTTTTTTTCGTAAATGTTTCCGATTCGGGGCGGAGACGAATCTAATATATCAGAGATCATTAAAATTGATCTACCCCGTTCAGTTATAAATGATATAAAACTAATCCGTCGGGCTTTTATTTATTTAAATTTCTTGTTGAGAGTTAAGTAAATAGTTTATCTATATAAACGCAGACTTTTTGAAACATTGTGTGGGATAAATAAATATTATATAATAAAATATTGGCACAACGATAACATTTTTAAATTAACTTTTAGTTACATGATTAAACTTAACCGGCATACAGCGTTGCCCACTTTTACATATTTTCTTTTAAGCCAAATATTTTGAGAAACAAAAATAAATTAATTATAAATATATAAACAGTTATTATTTACAGGTAATGGTGTGGATCCGGTGGCTGACCTTGAAACGAGTTTTTGCTGCATATAGTCACAGACACTACACATGCGCACATCTTCGATGTTGCCAGATTGCAAGTTATTTTGGAGTTATTTTCAGTAGAAAACAAATGTGCTTTTCAGTGTTTTTTTTTGTCAATATATACCGTATGATCGAAAAGCGGCATCCAGTTGGCTGGGAAATGACGATTGAGGACATTTTCCATATAAAATGACAGCGATCTTCATTTCATAGTCATCGCTGACGCTATTTTTTTCAATCATAGTACGCGGTATATTATTTTAATATTTCGCACAACACGTGAAACGTGAACGCTTATTATGTATTTTCATAGACAATAAAATTAAATAGAAATAAAACTCTAGATTCCTATAATTAATCTAATTGCTCTAGATTATTAGGCTACGTTTAAAAAGTACTTTATTAAAAATTCGGGAAATTAAAAGGGATGTGTCCAAGTTTTTTCTTTTTTTTTTAATTTTTAAATGCTGTCTGGCTGTAGCTCCATGTCATGTTCATAAAAGGTTTTTTTTAATTTTCATTTTTATTCCATCAAAACTACTTCGTTTTATTCCATCAAAACTACGGAGGCCTTAAAAGGCATTTTAGCCTCCGTAATTAAAATTGTAGAATCAGCTTCAGCAACATTTACAGTTACCTTGTTTAATTCTGCTTATACATATATTGCATTAATTTTTCTGCTACCTTAAGATTTCTCTATTTTTACACCTAATTTATGTGATTTTCTTAGCATAATATGATTTATAAACCATATTTTTCCTAATGGAAGGATGGAATATAGGATATGCAAAATTAAGATATTTTAACATTTATTTTCCAGACAAAGCATAATATAGTATTAAGATTAAGACATAACAAATATTATAAGAAAGATCTTAATATAAATCACAAACTAATCTTAAGTTGGTCTTGTATAAACACAGGTATAAAACTAAGATCAAAACTCAACCTTCACCATATTGTCAAGATTTGGCATTATAGGATACAAGAAATTACAGTAAATTAAGAAAAGAATATCAAAGTACACGATATTAAATACTGTAATGAATTCTACGACACAAACCATCTCCCTTCTAAAGAGAAAAAGATAAACATAAAGCTTATTTTAGTCTTATCAACACACTCTTCGATAAAATATATGTCTAAAATTGCTATTAATCCACTAACTTGATATTTTTAAGAAATTATGATACAAACATTATAATGAAAGTATATTATATTAGTAACATTATAGGTAAAATGTTACCTTTATCTCCCATTGACGTGTATTGTTTTATAAGACTCGTCATGGTAGTACTTCAAAACATCAATACGTATATAATCAAAACTATTGTTGCCTGTAAATAACTAGAAATTAAATAACTTGAAAGAAATAAAATAATTCTAATAAGTTTAAAACCATTAAGAAAAAATCCGTACATGATAATTTTTAATTCTAATGTAAATATATAAATAAATGTTATTATTATTACAATTTTATATATTCATAATACTTTCATTCCACAATCTTCATTATCCTTCTTACCTTAATTTTGGATATCAAGATAAATCTGAAATTATAAAATTAATTATAGAATTTGTATTATTATTGATATACTCAAAAAAAAATTTTTCAACTGCAAATAATTCGAAAATAAACTACAATTTGGCAACATCGACGATGTGCGCTTGCGTAGTATCGATGATCAAATGCAGCAAATATGGGCTTCAAGGTCAGCCACCGGATCCACACCCTTACCTTATTTACATCTAGTAAAAAGATTTAAGCTTAAAGACAACACAACAAATAAATAAATGTTGCAACTTGGCATTTTTTACAGTAGGGCTAGCGCCTGAATTTCCAGCGGGAAATTTAAATTCCAGTTAGTCAGCCCGGCGCCGAATGTGTCCGCATGGTTGGCAACAATGAATTTAAAAATCGCGCCCTCGATTACGTATCTAAAAGTTTAATTGATATCGAATATATCTTTAAATTGTCCATTATATTGGAATAATATCATAATAATATTGGAATCTAATAATCTTGAACGGAAATTATAATTTTTTGATCTTCAATTTTTGTTCAACTGATATTTCTTTGAAACGTGGCAACGTTGCAAGATATAAATAAAATCATGACTGCGGTACCAAAAAATATTTTAAGGTCCTTCTATGTGCACCTATGTCTATGAAAAAATAATTATTCCGGAAATATATGCAGTGTATGATTAAAATAGAATATTTTAACCATCCCGTTTATAACTCACAATGACCCACTTTATATTTTTAAATGCCCAATCTATTTTTAATTAGTCATTTTAATTTTACTTATCTTTAACTACTCGGTGATAGTGGAAATTTATTTAATAATCTTTCTTTAACCAAGAAACAATTTTTAACTTTGATAAGAACCGATCTATGAACTTCCGCATCATTAGACTTTTTCTGTTAATTATTTTCTTTCTTCTAACTGGATACACTGAAGAAATCGTCCGATAAACCGTATGATCGAAAAAAAATTAGTTGTCTTGGAAATGGCGCGATCGAGGACATTCCCCACATAATTTTACATATAAAACGACAGCGATCTTCATTTCATAGCCATCCCTAACGCCATTTTTTTTCGATTATATTATAGTATAAAATTACATACCTCATAGTATATTCTGTATATTCGTAAACTGAAAAAAAAAGAGTATTGGTAAATAAATGGTTTATTTGGCTAATATTATTTATTACACAAATTGTTTCGTCATTTTTAGCTAATAGCGGCCGATTCTCATGGTAGAAGAAAAAAAAAGATGCTATAGTCCCTTTGTCAATTAAATATTTATCGAGTTCACGTAATATTTAACTAAAATATCTTACCATATATCTTCTTTTATATCTCTACAGAACTCTCATACCAAATTTTGGTATTCCAACTTCAGAAACAATGGTACCACTGACAATTTTTTGCCACACTGCAGTTTAACATTTGTATAAACAAATCTAAATATTACAATAACTGTTAATTTTAGGTATATAACATTATATACAAAAAAGTTATAGAATTTTACGCAGAATCTACAAATAAAATAAAAAACGGGGTGTTGCATTTAAAAAAACATATGTTATATCCTCCACACTTTTTTGAAGCACCCTGTATACCCTATAATAATTTTAAAATGTGTATCTTAATCTTCTCTATGACTTCTGTATTTAACATTTTTTTTGTAAACCTCAAAACAAATGAGATAATGGACTTGTTGACTCACCCTGTACAACAGATTGAAATATAAAAATACTGATCTTAATGTTTGAAAAAAATACTTTTATAACAAAATTACTAATCTATGGTGTTCAAATCAATTTGCTTCTAAAAAAATAAATGTTTATATAAGCCGGCATTGGAACAAATAATGTAAATACGTTAATTAGATTTTATTGTGTAAGCTGTAACATAGTATCTCCGCGTGAAAATTGTAATTTGTGATAATGTTGTTTTTTGAATTATATCAGTAAAGCTATACAGGGAGTGTTATTGAAAATAAGGCACGTTATATTATGTTTTCTCGTGATTTTATTGAAACATATTCGATTTCATATACCTATCGATCACGTTGTTTGTTATCAACATTTAGTCATATCAACTTCGATTTTTAAAAACAAAATATTATCACATGCGGTATATTTTCTCTGACATCTTGTACATATATTTTAAAATACATTTAATTTTATCTCCAAATATCATACGATCGAAAAAAAATGCCGTCAAAGTAGCCGTTTCAATTGGAAATCAATGATATCTTCTATGGAGTCAACTCCTATGGTATTTATTAAAAACTAGCTGACCGACTAATTCCCTACAGCCTGAAGAGCTTTATTTATTTAGACCATTATTTCAAAGGCCATTATGACGCCCTTTTTTATTCGATTATGCGGCATTTATATCGTTTTATTTTCTTTCATGCCGATTTAAAATACAGAGAAAAAGATAAACTAGGAACCCTCTTTATTTGTGTTAAATGCCTTAGAGAATTTTGTTCACACTCAATTTCAAGTCTAATGTTTTTTTCTGGTTTATTTTCAGCTGACGGAGTGACCTATTCCTTTGGGATATTCTACGATGAGTTTCTGGAATATTTTAAAGAAGGAAAATCAACGACGTCCTGGATATTATCTCTTTTAGTTGGCGTTACACTATGTTCAGGTAATAATAGCTCAAACGTTTTTGTAAACATGAGTTTATTTTTTAGTTTTAAAGCTTAAAAAAACTATTAAAAGGTTTGGCAAGTTTTCAAAATAAAAAAAAATGTTTTGAAAAAATATACAGAAACAGCTTGTGTAAATTTAAATAAAAAACTAACAATAATAAACAGTAAAATGCAACTTAAATGTTTATTATTTAACATTTGATTAAATAAGTATACCGAAATTGATTTTTGTCACTTCCTGTTTCACCGGAAATGACTATAACTTTTGATTTTTAAATAGCACCCGAAAATAACACTCTGAACAATGAATGACATATCATATGTCAACTTTTGACATTTTCGCTTAAAAAATTGTATTTTAAATTCCCATGGCGGTGTTAAAAACACTAATTTTTAATCAAGGAGCCTTGGAACAATAGATTTGATCATCTAACCAAATAAAAGATGCCCAAATCGTATTTTTAATCATATCTCATTTTTTTTTCAAATGGAACAAGTGTAGCTCATTAGCATATTTGGAAAAAGAATTTTTTTACAAATAATTTGGTACCACACACTTGGTATTTCGAGTCAAATTGTCGTTATGAACCGCATGCTACAATTTCAAATAAACCATATGCGAAGATGTCAAAAGTTGACATATTTATGATATGTCATTCGATTCAGAGTGTCATTTTCTATCGAATAAAGTAGAAATATACCGAGGGTGTCATTTAAAAATCAAATGTTGTAGTCGTTTCCGGCGAAACAGGAAGTGACCAAAAACAATTGAATACGTCAATTAATCATTATTTATGTCATATACTAACTTACCAAATCTCATTTTTTTATCTGAAAAAATAAAAGAGTTATAGAGGTGAGCCACTTTAAAGCGGCACCCGGTATATGCTTCTGTTCAACTTTCTACATGAGTTGATATGCTATGTACCTATATAACATAATTTAATTTATTATTACATAATAATATGTTTACAATTTGCTTAATGAATAAATATTTTTCTGTTAAACCATACTACCACGATTTATAGGTATGGATGGTACTATGTATGTACTAAAAAAATTAAGTAGCAGGCATTCCTATACTAATTTTAGGAATATCCCTTCTAATTTAATAAATTGTTTATACGAAATGTAAATAAATAGTGGTCGGTTAATTATACTAGAACAAACTATAAACACACCTATGATTATTTTTGCAAGAAAATTTTCGTGCAAATGTAGTTGAATTAAGTCAAATTGATTGCATAAAGATTTAAATCGTCGTAGTGTTGTAGATAGATAACTTTTAAAACTACAGGGCCTATAGTAAATTTAAAATTAAAATGGCATAAGTTCGAAAAAAAAACAGGGTCAAAGACGGCTGGGAAATGACAATCCATGATAATATTTGCGAGCTCATCTATAATCTATACCAATATAAATATATAAAATCCTTAAGTGACTGACTCACCGATTAATCACGATCCTGCTCAAACCACTCAACATAAGAAGCTCAATTTTGGCATATAGGTTGATTCTGGGGTGTAGAAGTTCGATAAGAAGAGATTTTTCGAAATTCCAGTTCCAAGAGGGTGAAACCACCCCTCAAATATTACAATATTTTTTATTTAAAAAAGTTTCCGAAAAAACGCTTAAACACGTATATTTTATTTTGTTTTTTTACATATTTTAAGATTTTTTAAAATGTATACAGGGTGTTTCGAAAAATCTGGTCATTGATTAATCACGATCCTGCTTAAAGCGCTTGACGTAAAAAGCTGATTTTTGGAAAACGGATTGACTTTAGGGTGTAGAGGTTCGATAAGAAGGGATTTTTCGAAACTCGAATTCTAAGGGGGTGAAACCACCCCTCAAATATTAGAATATTTTTAAAACCGGTGAGTTTTTCGGAAAAACATCTTAAACACGTATATTTTATTTTGTTGTTTTACATATTTTAAGATTTTTTATAAATTTATACAGGGTGTTTCATAAAATATGACCATTGAGTAATCACGATTCTGCTTAAACTGCTTGACGTTTAAAGCTGATTTTGGCAAACAAATTGACTGTGGGGTGTAGAGGTTCAATAAGGAGGGGTTTCTCGAATCTTAAATTCCAATTGGGTGAAAACGCCTCCGAAATATTACTATATTTAGTCTTTCCGGAAAACGATTGGACACGCATAATTTATTTTGTTTTTTTACATATTTTGAAATTTTTAAAAAATCATACAGGGTGTTCCAAAACGTTGGGTAATTGATTAACCACGATTCTGCCTAAACTGCTTGACGTAAAAAGCTTATTTTTGGCAAACGGATTTTTCGAAAGTCAAATTCCAACGAGATGAAACTACCCCTCAAATATTACCAAGTTATATAATAATATCGCCATATTGTTTTTTCTCATGCTGACATAAGTGTGAGAAAATTTTATCCAGTTTATATGTTAATGGAAATTCTTGCTTTCCTTTATCTATGGCTTTATCATTACCATTACAAATGATTAGTAGTGGGAAGTGGGCAATTTCGGGATATTTGGCGAGGAAGTTATTTTAATAAGTGTTTCTCCAATAAAACATGACATGAATCTCTATTCAGTGCAGCAGAAAAATGCCAAAACTGTCAAATTTCGGAACGAACTTTCGTATGTATGTGACAGGCTTTTTTTATTTTACAGGATAACTTCAAATTTCGGATGTCGTACCATCGGATTTCGGATGCATGAGACTCCGGCTTAGTTCGACGCAAACGAAGTCGCGGGTACACGCTAGTATCATTATACTTATACGGTATAGCAAATTTGAAGAGTATAACCGGGATTAACAATTTTAGAACAAGCAAAATTTTTTATAAGCAATGCATTTTATTTAATAAAGTCAATTTTTATTAAAAAGATTTTATGGAGATATTTAAACACTCTAAAACCTCACCCTTTATATTCAAAACCAATTTTAATTCTATCCTTTTTTTATTTCCAGGTCCAATCTCCAGTTCCCTAGTGAACAGATGGGGCTGCCGAGCCGTGACCATAGCCGGCGCCATCCTGGCCTCCGTCTGCATGGTGATCTCCTTCTGGGCCCAAAACGTGCTCACGCTATGCATCACCATCGGCATCGGTACCGGCTTCGGTTTCGGACTCATCTACCTCCCGGCCATAGTCAGCGTCACCATGTACTTCGAAAAAAAACGGTCCCTGGCCACCGGCATAGCCGTTTGCGGTTCAGGGTTGGGAACCTTCATTTTCGCACCGATCATATCGAAATTATTGGCTGAATATGGATGGAGGGGTAGTATTTTGATCATAGCCGGTATAGTATTGGAGAGTATCATTTTCGGAGCGCTGTTCAGGCCGCTGGAGAATGAAAACGGGAATGGTTCGAAGAAGGAGGATGTGGTGACGTTGCCGAAGAGGTGTGAGGGGCACGTGGATATCCACGTGTCGGATTACGAGATTAATCAACAGCCCATTCTGCACCTGAACGGGAGCACGAAGATGAACAGGCCACATAGTTTTGCTCATTTTACCTTGCCGAAGAGTTTCAAGCACGAACCCAATGCGAATGTTCCCGGAAAGAAGTATCACGAAGTGTCAAGATTGGCTTTGAGTCAGCCCATGTTGACGCAATCGGAGATACATCATTACAGGTGGGATTTTATTATATTGAAAAGTATTTTGTCTATTTGTATTTTTTATTTTTACTATAGAGGGTAGAAGTAAGGAGAATTATCTTGTCGTATCTTGTTATCGTGTATAGTAAACTGGTCGTCAAAGAGGGAACAATAATTAAGGTGGCGCTGCTGTAGCGAAAGTTCTACATTTGAAAGAAGTGCAAAAAATTTTAGAACAGGAAATAATTAAAAAGATATAGATAAATAGTCAATTTCTGAAGGCGCGTGTTGCAACTCTTTTTAACTAACCAGCAAATGCACATAGGTTGCTCTAGCATACAGGGTGCGTCTCAAAACTGGCTCACCGCTAAAACTTTTTTATTTTTTTCAGATAAAAAAAACGAGATTGGGTATGTTAGTATAAGAAGAGCACACGGGAAAACCAGATACGTCACATTTTCATGGAAATTAAGATAGCGACACAACTTTATAGGCAAATGTTAGCGTTATTTGAGGCACCATCAAAGAAAGCAATAATACGCTTAGTCCCAGAGATATTACAGCTTAGTTATTGTGCCTTACAAGGGAAAAACCAGAGTAGTCCACGCGTTATTGCATTTTTCTCGGCTCCAGTTATAATGGACAAAGCTAGTTTTTTCCTGTAGTCTTCAATGACAGAAATACGTCAATCAATCCTAATTAGGATCGATTGACGTATTCAATTGTTTTCACTCACTTCTTGTTTCACCGGAAATCACTACAACTTTTGATTTTTAAATGGCACCCTCGGTATTTTTTTACTTTGTTCGATAGAAAATGACACTCTCAATAGAATAACATATCATATGTCAACATTTGACATTTTCGCATATGGGTTATTTGAAATTGTAACATACCATATTCCTACCAAATTATTCCTAAACAAAATCTTTTTCCAAATATGCTATGAGCCATTCTCGTTCCATTTGAAAAAATTGAGATATGATTAAAAATACGATTTGGGTATCTTTTAAGCGGTCAGGACAAGACATTAAAACATTAGACGATCAAATCTATTTTTAAAAATTAGTGTTTTTAACGCAGCCATGGCATTCTAGATTGAAATTTAAAATACGATTTTTTTAAGCGAAAATGTCAAAAGTTGACATATGATATGCCATTCTTTTAAGAGTGTTATATTCTATCGAATAAAGTAAAAAAATACCGGGAGTGCTATTTAAAAATCAAATTGTAGTAATTTCCGGTGAAACAGGAAGTGGCCGAAAGCAATTGAATACGTCAATCAATCCTAATTTAGGTACCAACCAAATCTCGTTTATTTATCCAAAAATGTAAAAAAGTTGTATAATAGTGTTGAGCCACTTTAAAGACGCATCCGGTATACCAAGAAATTTATATTCATGAATTCTAAACTTATGAACTTTTTGTGTAAAAGACAATATTGCCTGAAACCTCGAGAAAATATAGTCTCTTTCAACAAATGGCAATTCTCATTTTCAGGTCTCACCATCACGGAAGCTTCAGAAGACCTTTCGATAGACCCGATATCCTCTACCAAGGTAGCCTAATGAATATTCCCTCATACCGATCTCGCCTAGACATCAAACATAACGAAAACGGATTGGAATCATACAGAAAACATCATCGTCGAATGTCCAGCGACGAAAGTACCAAAGTTTGTGGTTTGATTCCTTGCTCTCCCGAAACCAAAGACACCTTACAGGTAATGATGTGTAAAATATATCGATATATTTGATAGATGTGATCCCATTCTAACTGTGAAGTTTTATGTTCAATAAGCTTCATGCCCACTTTTAACTTAATTTGCTTAGACCTCACAAGTCACTTGTTACTTGCAATATACACACATGACATGGCCAAAATTATTTTTGGCATTTGGGTGTTTTTCTGGGTATGGAATGGGGCCTCTCCATAAAATTGAGGGCATAATGGATCGGTTTGGCTACAGAGACATTTTACAAAACCTTTTAGTGCCTTATTTGGAGGAAAAAATGCCAGTTGTACACTACTTCCAACATGATAACGACCCGAAACATGCCTCACAATTGGTTAAAAGGTTTTTGGAAGATGAAATGGTGACTGTTCTCAAATGGCCATCGCAATCCCCAGACCTGAATCCAATAGAAAATTTATGGGAAATTTTGGATCAACACATTAGGACCAAATTCTACAAAAATAAGCAAGAATTATTTGCAGCTTTGGAAGAGTCTTGGAAAAATATCGATTTTTCTATAATTGAAAATCTTCTGGGGTCCATGCCTAAGCGATGACTGAAAGTAATTAAGAATAAGGGTTACTTAAGAATAAGTTAATTTTTCAGTTTTTGTTAACATAAGATTTTTTTTTATTAAATATATATTTTGTTCATCTACTTTTGTCCAATAGTTTTTTCAATTTAAATTTTTTGCTACCTTATTAAAGCACATTTTAAAAAAACAATGCTATTTATTTTTATAGCACTGACACTAGACTTCAAGTAAATATAGCTCAAATTTTAATTTTAAACATATTAGGAAAAACCCATTATTTTAACAAAGTTCATCCACTTATGGCCAATACTGTATATGCAATAATTTTGGCCATGTGTGTATTTGCTGACCTGTTAAGGCGGAGATTGACTTGAAATGACCTTCAGCAAGCAGTTCCTCGTGAATGTCTAAAGATCTATGCTGAATCTTTAATACCAAAATCTTCACTTACAGGAAATGCTGGACTTTTCCCTGTTCAAAGACCCGATCTTCATCCTTTTCTCGGCAAGTAACTTGCTGACCAGCATAGGGTTCAACATACCCTACGTGTACCTAGTGCCTAAAGCCAAAGAAATGAAGATGAGTATCGAAACGGCGGGTATGCTGATATCCATCATCGGTGGAGCCAATACCATCGGAAGAATAATTTTGGGCTACATTTCGGATAAGCCTTGGATCAACAGGTTGCAGATCTATAACTGGAGCCTTACTATTTGTGGTGCAGGTAAAATATTCTTTTGACAATCATATATTATCTATTTTAACAAAACAAGAAACAAATATATTTAGCATCTGTTTTATTCTCTAAGATTGCTACCTTATTTATCAAATCTTCTTTAAATGTTACCTAATATTCTTGCTAGTGATATTATCTTATTAATTTGTATTAACTTATAACCAGATTCAAGTTTTCCTATATGTTAATTATCATGTTTTCGTATATATTAATTAATTTTTGTTTTTTTCTTGTTACAGCTACTTTCTTTAGTGCCTTCTGTGAGTCGTTTTATTCGCTCGCCGTGTACAGTGCCGTCTTTGGTTTTACGATAGGAGCCTACGTGGGACTCACGTCTGTCATTCTTGTCGATCTCTTAGGACTGGACAAACTGACCAATGCCTTCGGGCTTTTGCTTCTGTTTCAGGGAATCGCTTCCCTTGTTGGACCACCGATAGCAGGTAAAAACAATTGATTACTTTGAAAAGAAAAGGGGATAAAACAAATTTAGGTGGATATTTTCTTTTAATCAAAATTATTTAGGGAAATAAAAATAAATTAATTTTAATAATTAATATGTAAACAGTTATTATTTACATCAACAAAAGTCATTTAAACCAAAAACTCGTAATACAAAACTAAAGTGTCATAACGAATGTCAATGTCAGGAAATAAATAAATAAATGTGGCGACTTGACATTTTTTATAGCAGAGCTACCACCTGAATCCTCAGATTCCCCGGCGGGAAATTTAAATTCCAGTTAGTCAGGCCGGCGCCGAATATATCCATAGTTGGCAATAATGAATTCAAAAATTGCGCTCTCAATTACGTAACTAAAAGTTTGATTGGTATCGAATATATAAATATGTTTCTAATGAAAACTGATGTTATAATAATTATTTAATAACTAAAATACCAGAACAAATTTCTGTGTTGGAACAAACTTTATTTATAATAGCATTTACCAAATTTAAAAAAAAACCAGGAAAAAATAAAAATTGATTTTCAAGGTTAAAATATCTGTTTTAATTTTAAAGTTTTTGAAACGTATTATAAAAATGATTTATTTTATTATTTATGTCCGTACCAATAAAATTATTATAACTGATATCACATTGCAACCACTGATAAGTTTCAGCGGTTTCAAAAGTTTATGGCAAATAAAAATAAAAAGATATAGAACAAACATATAGGTCAAAGATCTGACTGTTTGTTGGGATTTTGTTATGTTTTGCTGGCAAACTATCGGGAACTGTCTACGCATGTTGGCGATTAATACTTTTAAATCTCCAGATGCAAAAAAATAACAGAGGAATTGCGTAGGCGGACTTTGTGTCTATTTAACTGTTAATATACAGAGAGATCAACAATGATTGACACAGTCCGAAAAAGTAGCAAAATAAGCGTTCGGCATTTAAAGTTTTATGTAAAATTGGCTAGGTATTTTTACACAAATGAAGAAGGAAATTAAAGATAAAGGATTATACCATATCCGTATTGTAGCACATTTTTAGACAACTTTTTTATTTTTAAGATTTTGATGGTCAAACGCTAGTTGCATATTTCGCGATTTCATCATTAAAATGGTTTTATTTAAACCGTTTCTTTTCTGTTTTAGGTAGTCTATTTGACAGGACCGGTTCATACGACCCGGCATTTTACTTAGCCGGTGTCTCGGTATGTCTCAGTGGACTAATTCTGTTCTTCATACCGCCTATTCAGAGGTGGCAAGCCAGGAAAGCTACCAAATCATTTAAAGAAGAAGATATATAGCAATTACTAAGCCCGAATGGGAAAGACATTAGAAGCTATAGTAGCGTATAAATATAATTGTAAAATGATGTGTTCCAGTCATAAAAAAACGTGTTTGTGTTGGGAATCTTTACGATCTTAAGTCCCGTCTAGACGTAACGTTTTACCGGTGTCAGGTAAGACGGATTAAAGACGAGATACACTAGAAGTTTTACTTGCGGTTTTAGATCAGTTTTTGGTAAAGGTCATGGAGAAAGCACTGCTTGTATTAATTATAGCCATTGTGTTTAGTGAAGTTATAATGAAAAAACATGGAATTTTACTACAAAATTGAATATTTATGGTTAAAATTTTATTTTTAAACACGCAGAGATAATTATAAAAATAGTATCGTTTGGTAATAATCAATAAATATCACTAAACAATTTTCTAAACTTACATTATTTTGTGAAACTATGCAAAAATACCGTATTATCGAAAAAAAATGGCGTCCAGTTGGCTTGGAAATGACAATCGATGACATTTCCCATATAATTTTACACATAAAATGACAGCGATCTTCATTTCATTGCCATCGCTGACGCCGTTTTTCTTCGATCATACTTAGATTTTCAAAAATTGCTTGTTAAAGATGATGTAATATATCCATAATATGGCATATATCAGCAACGCCCTGTATATTTTTCAATGTAGGCACAACTGAATGATCCCGTAAGTAAAACGTTCGTTTTTTTCGTATACACACCAGGTTTTTCTTGATACTTTTTGACTGAACAAAGCATAACGTAACACTTTATGTGTAGACTGTTCTTTACATAATACAGTGGCCAAATAACTAGAGTTTTGAATTTTGTTATACTTTTTATTACTTTTTGTACTTACCAACTAACTAGAGACTACCTCGCACATCACGTAAAGATTCTATATAACACATCCTATTACGTGATCAAATAAAAAGAGCGTCAGAATAAGCCTAGAAATGTTATTACTACGCCTACTCTAACGCTCTTTTATTTCGGTAATTCGATATTTTTATGACGAGAAAAAAAGACGATAATCTATACATATCCAGGGAGCTTGATGCGTTTAGGTAAAGTTTTTAATTTTTAATAAATATATTAGTGTTTGACTTTGACGTTACTATTTGTATATTATTAATAATTTAAGATTTTTAAATTTACAGTCTGTGTTTTATTGTTCCTGTAAGTGCTTTCAATGTACAAATATAATTGTTATGGTTAAGCTTATTTGTATAGGAATAATCATTTTAGAAGTCCTTGATTTGACTAGTAAAGTCAAGTTAATATAATTTTGAATATCTTTCACTTCTTTTTTTGTTTTATGGGAATTCTTGAATGACGTTAACTATACAAAATTATTTTTAAGGACTAGAATTGATTGAAATGCAGGGTCAAAATAAATATACAGGGTGTTCCCTTAAATCAGTGCAAGTATTTGAAGAGGTGGTAGACCTGAACGAAAGAAACATATTTTCTATTAACTATTTTTAAACTAAATTTGAAACTGCTGGAACTACTATTTAACTTCTAACCTTTTTACAAAACAAATCCATTGGCATGTTTTTGTGATCGAAATATACCATGCGAGTTAAACAGTTAAGATACTTGCATTGATTTAGACACACCCTGTATACGCCTATCTTTTGAATCTCAGTGTATATGAACACTTTTAAAAAATAAATCATCAAAAATTATGCAAAAATATGCGTTTCAATAAATTCTTTTTTTATTAGTGTATGTTATGGCTTGTTAATTATATTTAAACTATTTTTTATGCTCTTAATCGACTAAAACTTGGCTATCGCTAAATTCTGGCAAGAAAAAAACATTTATCACTAAATATAAAACTTTAAATACGATTAAATTAATGAATGTATGGTATGCATAATATTTTCATGTAAATGAAAATATAAAAAAAACACAAACTTTAAACTATATATTTATTCATTAATCATATCAACAATATGCATATTTGTTGAAAATAAGAATTAATTAATATTTGTATATATTAATAATTTATTGTCAGTTTTAGCATTGTAACTGTGATATTTTTTCTTAAAAATAACAAAACCTTACTTTGTAATATGAATATTATTTTCCACACTCTATACAGGGTGGCCCATCGAAAACGTTCCGCAAGGCATAACGGCCAGGGTAATTTTTTTTCAGAAAATTCAAAAACACGTCAATTTTGTTTGTGAGTGGGACAACTTTTGCCCCAAAAATGATAGCAAAAAATTCAGCCCTCTAAACGGGGGTGTCATCCCCCAACTTTTTTCAAATGGGAATAAGGGGGTTCAAGTTGTGTCGCAATGAAAAGGGCTTTCTATTCTCTATACTTTCCTTCATTGAGAAAATATGAAGGATTGAAATTTGAAAAGTTTATTTAAACATTTATTAGAGTAAATGATAAAGATAAATTCCTTCGACCAATTTGCTGTTTTTTCTTATTATTTCTAGATGTTTATACGCATGGGCGCCGGACAGGGGGGGCAAGAGGGGGCATTTGCCCTCCCCTGGATCACTGAAACAATAAAAATAAAAGCTATATCTTCTTACATCCATCTGTAAAAAAATAATTATTATTACGAAATTGTTAGGTGTTACCTGTAAAATAATAAAAAATGTGGTAATTATTGGGAAAACTGGAAATCGTCCGATTTTCACCAAAATTGGTATACACACTATTTTGAGGTCGTAGATTACGAATCTACGTTTTCTTGGCAGTCTCTTACCGTTTTTCGAAAAACGGAAAATTATTTCAACATTGAATTTTTCTTTATTTCGGCCCTATAAAGTAATAATTTCACTATATTTTCATTATATTATAGTTTATCTAAAAGCCACACTTGATTGGGGATAGAAAAGTGTCCAACATTTTACTGAAAAACACTTTTCTTACAAAATAGCAAAGAAAATTGAGACCAGATGGAAGTTTGACATTTGATATATCCTTCTTTCTCTCTCCTATGTAATAAGAGAGACAAATTTATTCTAGACCTAATCTAGAAATTTGAAAATTTACAACGTTGCCATATCTTCTATTTTTTCGGGTGATTACGGAATTTAAATAAATTACCTATTATGAGATCAACAATAATTAAATATACACCAATATCCACAAAATTACGCGGAAAAGTTTTGATTGCATTGGTTTTAACTTCTTTGCGGAGGAGGTTAATCTTTTCTTAGTTAATCTAATAATATAACAACAAAAGATTAACACCCTCTGCATGGAAGTTGTAACCAATGCAATCAAAACTTTTTCGTGCAACTTCGTGGGTATAAATAGTCAGATCTCGTTGGTAAAATAGCAGTTATGGGAAGGAGCCGTTCTTCTGGCGACCGCCTTTCGTAATTCCAGAATGAGCGAAAAAAACACGCTAAATTTAGGTTTAGCATTGGCAACGTTGCTTTAAATGCCAGAAAGACATAAACTTACTTCGGGTTTCTCTTATTACCGATTCTGAACCGTCCTAGAACTGTGATGTGTATGCGCAGAAGGAAATATGAAGACATTACTTCATTTGCGCATGCGCTGCAGAGTTCTTGGACGGTTCAGAATCGGTAATAACAAGAACCCGAACAAAGCTATAATCTAACATTTTCAGATTGTTTACAAATTTATTTTAACAAATTTTCCTCTATTATGCATAGAATTGGTTAAAAAAGTAACAGAAAAGAGCAAAAACATTATTGATTATTGAATACCTAACAAAATATGTGCTAGAAAACCTTAAACATATGAGAAATTAAGAAAAATTCGATATTGAAATTATTTTCCGTTTTTCTCAAAAACGGTAAGAGACCGGCAAGAAAAAAGTTCAGATTCGTAATCTACGACTTCAAAATAGGGTGTATACCAATTTTGGTGAAAATCGGACGATTTCCAGTTTTCCCAATAATTACCAAAAATGTCAATTTTTTATTCATTTTTACCTTGCCCCCCCCCCTAAATTTCATTCTTCCGGCGCCCATGTTTATACGCATTTATTCACTTGCCACAAGGTTGAATGATCAGGTGCGGTAGTTGCTAGATAGCTGTTCTGTGTGTTATTCCTTGCGGAACGTTTTCGATGGGCTACCTTGTATATTAATTTACCTGTATGTATGTAGTCCTGTATTTAATTTATTCCTTTCAAGTTAATTACTATAAATATGTATAATATTATCATATAAATTATTAAATGTAAATATGCTTTTCTTGTAAAGTTGCTTAAGAGAATTTTGATTTCATAATGTTTCTTTATTTTTTATCATGTTTTATTTTGTGCAATATTTTAATTATAAGTAATCTTACTGCTGATGTAAATAATCCTATCAAATTAAAATTTTCTATTCTTGATACACCCGTTTACAAATATAAACATTTCAAAACCGACTGACTGATACATAAGTTTCGATTTTAGTTCGTTTTTTGTTATATTTTTTTAGCGTCACACTGTTAATTATAATATTCTATATTATAGAATTTTTTTAAATAAAAACTGTAAAATAAAATCAGATGTATCTTTCATTATTTTTTACCCTTTGAAATCTAGTTTTATTGGAAAATTATTTATTCAACAAAATTTCAACATAACTTTTATTTCGTATGAGCGAAAAAAAACGGCGTCAAAGACGGCTGCGGTATAACAATCGATGATAATTTTGGCGAGGTCATTCTCTAGAAGGATCTCTTAAAAAAGGATAGAACTTTTCCAGACACACCAATCTATTTCTAAAATGTTTTTTCTCGAATTTTAAACTACACCATTTAAAAATAATTTTAACTCTATATAAAAATAATTTACAACCTTTTTAAGGCCAACTGGTACAAAAGTAGGCGCCATTAAAAAATAATGAAGAGTACGGGCTAATTAAATGACGTCTAGGGCTTGACCTAGCTAAAATTACCATCGATTTTCATTCCCCAGCAGTCTATGACGCTGTTTTTTTTCGATCGTATGGTGTTTATGATTTCACTCTTTTAAATCACAATCAAGGAACTTCTTAATTTCATCTGGAGCAGCTACATCATATCTCATTATTAAGAGAATTTCATCAAGATTATTTTGTATTTCGTTCGTATACTGAAATAGAAAAATATAGAACATAATAACTAAGATATTAACTATCAAATATACAGGGTTGACATCCTGTATATACTGTATACTAGAAGAACTTACTAAATCTATTTGTTTGTTTGATTTCAATCTCTGGATTTTCTCTCTTTGACAACAATACAACTCGTACAATAACAACCCTCTCAATTTACACTGACCACACTGTAATTTGTTTAAAACAAATAAAATATCTTTACACAACTCTTCCTTAATATCCAGCAGTTCTAAAGTAAGGTCTAAGAAATCAAAAACATAGAATAAAATACAACTTTAAATAACTCTTCTTTATCTACCTTTGTATTTGTATCCGTCCATGTGACCTAAGAGCCAGATTAGTTTATATTTCACAGCAATTGCGATTTGATTGTGATCTGGAACTACCGTTTTTAGTTTTCCTTTGAGAAAATTGTAAATAAATTCAAAGCCTTTGGAGTCAAGATCACGTAGAATAGAACCTAAAAAATAATGCCTTTAGTACCTTTTTAGCGTGCTCATTTCTTGAAAAAAGTCTGTATATTTTAGCCACTAAACAGAAATGAAGAATTAATTTTGGTATATATTTTTAAATTTCTGTTCAATGGCGATATATCTAGACTTTTCATAGAAATGTATAAATATAGTTTGTCCGGTGAATATATGACAGTTAATATCAGTAATTTTTATTGAATGGATGTCGTATATTCTCTCGCTAGACAGACTATACACGGTACAAAATTTTTTAACAATAAATATTTTTTTTTAATTTTCAAACTTGAACAACTCGGTTATTTTGGACTGATTTGAAAAACGGTAAAGAGAAAATATATGTTTCTTTTATCGAGATCTACCAGTCCTGAAAATATTTGCGCTTATTTAAGACTCACTCTGTATATACCGACTCACCTAATAAAGTTGTCAAAGTTTTCACATCCTTTCCTAAGATATATGTTTTACAGTCCTGACATTGCCATTTCCCGTAAGATTTATAAGGGTTCACAGGACTAACTATACCTCTACATTTTTTACATAATACTGAACCCATATAAGTTCCAAATTCCGTACGATCTTGGCATCTCAGGCATTTGCAAATGAAATGCTTGGTACAATGTAAATGGTATAATCTTGTGGTAGTATCCCAGATTATTCTGGTGTAGGAATGGACCAGCTCTGTGTTTTTGGGAATAAAAACAGCAGCCTTGGCTACCATTTCTTGATGTTCGTTGAATACGTGAGTTAAATTTGGTGTGCATGAGTGATTGGCAAGACTTCCCAAGGGATATAATCCTGAAAATAAAGATCTATAGGAAAGTGTACCCGTTAAAAATTTCAAATTAAGGTAAATTTTATGTACAGAATGTCCCATTTTGATTGAGGATTATAGAGCTCATTAGTCGAGACAGAACTTTGCGGTTTTCGTAAACATTTTTAACTTCATCAGCAGATGATTATAAACTAAAGTACAATCTACAAGTTGAGCGTTTATATAGTCGCTCAGTGGGCACCGAGTGGGCGTGGCAAAATCTAGCCAACCGAGTCAGAGCCCACTGAGCGTAAGAGTTAGATTTCCGCCACTAGAGTAGTAGGTACAAAGAACTTGAAGGAATTGGACCGTTGTCTCTGTTCATACTATCTTTACATTTATTAATTCTGATGCTTTCATATGCATCTAATTGCCTGTAATTTGGGACTTGTTTAATTCATTTTAAATTATTAAGATCTATACAATGTTCTTTATCAACAATATGTTCGGTAACGCAAGATTTATCAGGTCTACCATATCTTATCTGAGCTAAATGTTCTTTAAATCTAGTTAATATTGATCTTCTAGTTTGCCCAACATATTTCTGATTACAATCTTTACAAGAAATTTCATAAATACCTGACCTTTCCAGTGGAGGTGTTTTGTCCTTTAGCGAAACGCGCGTCCAGTGTAAAAGTAAAAGTGTTTTGGTGTATTGTGGTGATTTAGTGTTTTTATTTTGCTGTGTAACACCAAAGGTTCCAACCCTCAACGGTAATCTTTTTAGCTACCAAAATGGGACACTCTGTACAGGGCTATTCGGGATCTATAGGGGAATTCCGAAAAAGCCCTTTAATAGATTTTTGGTGTGTCATTTTCATTTAATTTTTTTACATAATATGGGGACAATGCAAGGACAATGGTAATGCACACTTTGAAAATATTTTGTCGATATATTTACAGGTTACAGTTGGGAGTCTGTATAAGTACTGTACTTATAATAGTGTCTTCTTCAAAATTCAGTCTTCCAAAATCTACAATCTTGTTTGATATAATATATTTTGCAAAAAAAATCGAATTTTGGAAAAAAATTTTGGAATTTTTTTCGCTTTTAGTCAAAAAACATAATTTCTTGATAATCTGGCAACATAAGTAGTAGATTAAATTTACAAGAAAGAAAACCCAGAAAAGGGTTTCCAGCAGTTCTCAAAATTTAAGCAATATGTAAATCATTTTTTTAGAAATTTTCAAAGTAAAATAACTCGGTTCTTCTGGACCTATTTGAAAAACGGTAAAGACAAAATATGTTTCTTTTATCGAGATCTACCAACCCTCAAAATATTTGCATTTATTCAAGACTCACCCTGTATAGTATTCCATTTAAAAATATACATTTTTAGTAAAATATGTTTGAATATGTATGTTTACAAAAACATTTTTAAAATGTGCGTTGCCATTGCCCCCATATTTTGAGAAAAAAATTAAAAAGTTGAAATCACAAACCAACAACCTAATTATAGGACTTTTTTGAAAGCCTGGGTTACCCTGTATTTATATTTTATACAATAAAAATTAAGTGTTTAAAAAATTAAGTGATTAAAAATACTTACCTCTTAAACTACTGTCCCCTTTTTCACCACTCAAACTCACTTCAAAAGCGTTCGCATCCATGACACAACACACGAACTTCATAAACTTCTCATCATCTTCACTAAATTCAAACCCAAACCCATTTTTTAACGTATCAACTTCATGCCCATGTCTATCTCTATTATGAGCAATTAAACTCAACACCACATCTTTGTCATTTTGATCCAAAAACAAACTTTTCAGCGGCGTTAAATTTTCAAAAAGCTTATTACAAATATCTTTCGATTCTCCATGTCTAAGTTGACGTACTAAACGACATTCCTGTTGATGAAATGAACTGTTCTGGCATTCATTTGAACAAACCGGAAGACCACATCCTGAGATACAGGGTTTTAATAAGTCAGTTTTTCTAAAACAACTGACGCAAAGAATGGGACAGTTTGGTATACACCTGGGCCCCAAAATCACGGGAACATCAATGAAAATCACCTCTCCAATGGCAACATCTCGCGTCGTGAAGACACCAAAGCCTCCTACGTTAGACTCTCGGATCTCCCAAGAGGGATTTTCACTAAATTTGTCGTGTTTTTTCAAAAAGTTACTGATAATTTGGTTTAGGTAAGGTGCAGTTCTGCGGGACAAATTCATAGCAGTTCTCTCTGTTCATAGTGAGAACGAATTAAAATAATTATAGGACAATAAAGGTCTAATAGAATGAATTAAAAAATCTTAACAGTAGCGTCTCCACGTAAATTCTTATTACCGTTTTTTTTTATATTTATATACCCAAGCAGCATTTGGACGTCGGGACAACGTTGTGTCACGCGACCAAACGTCGGGGCGCAACGTCGGCACAACCTCGTGCCAACCCTACTCTGCACTAGTTTGGAGAATCATTTTTGGGTCGAAACGACGTTGGATACCGACGTTGGCTAGAAGCCTAATTTAGTACAAACTGCAACGTTGTTTAAAATCCTAATTCACAGAAATACAAAACTAATATGGCGTCTAAGTCGCGTTTTATCCTAAATTGGGATAATTATAGTAAAAATATTATTTTTATGATTTAGTTAGAGACATATGTCAGATGGCAGTGAAGGAAAACGAAACAAAAGTATTTAAGTGTGGAGGATGTTTGAAGATCATAATTATTGAAACACTTTAACCGACTCTGTACCTCGTTACCCAAGGCAAAAAAGTTAAACGCAAACAACTTTATTGATAAATGTATTGTTTCTACTTTGAAAAATACTAATGGGCCTTAAAATTAAAGAAGTTTTAAAAATTTTCTTGAATTTCTTTTTTAGTAAAATGAGAATAATTTATTCGCAGTCGAAAAAATTGTTTCCGCGTGTTTTTTAGGGTCAAATATTTCAAGTTAATGTATTCAAAAAGCAGGAATTGCTATTTTAGGAACGAAACATTTTCTTATTTAACAACATGGCGGCTTTCACTTTGTTGTTTTGGAGATTAAGATGGAGTAGTTCGAGTAGTCGCATACTGGACTAATAAAGTCGCAGTTCGGCCTTAACAGGTAGTCACAGCAGGTAGTATACTAGTCGCAAGATTGCCTAATTTAGTCATCCTAGAGTCTAGCTTGTGCCGCCCTCTATAATCTAAATAAACGAGGGAGTGGATAAACTATCGGTAATATATATCGATGTATATTTAAATTTAGTTTTATATGTACCTTTCTTATGTCCCATTTTAATTAAGTTTTTTTTATAAAAACAAAAACAGCACTGAACTGTCTGACTGAACAGAACAATGAAGTGAAAATTTAAGATTTAAGGTTATGGTTCAATACAGTTGCAAAACGGTAGTGACTCGACGTCCTACCAACGTAAGAATAAGGAAATCTAAACAACGTTGGAATTAGTAAAACAGACGACGTTTGCATAACGTTGGAATAGGTCCTGAAACTGACGTCGGAAAACTCTATATTGTCCAACGTTGTAACTACGTTGTCCGAATCACCTAAAGATCACTTAAGCAAAAAAGGTTACAAGACAACGTTTATTCGACGTCGCAGAAGCTTCTACTTTGCTGTAGTACTAGTCCAATGTTGGCACAACGTTATAAAAACGTTTAAATTTATTTTAATACCCAAGGTAGGGAGCTAACTATTATTTGTAACTAATCCAACGTTGTGTTTAGTAAACATGTGGTCGCAAGTCGTGAAAATGCTACTTGGGTAGGGTGTTTTAAAAAACATGTGCCATCTTGGTGGAGGAATTTCTCATGTAAAACTAAGATTTATCTTTTATATCAACATAGATCCGATCTTGCTTTGTTTCGTAGCTACAGGGTGTTAAAGTTTTATTTTATTTTTTTCGACGTGCTTTTAGGGATTCGAATAACACACTGAGGGTCAAAGTTACTATAAAGTGTTGAATGATTCACTGGGAACGTACATATTATGGGTTATCACTGATATATTTTTCTAAAAAGAACTGCACGCCACTGACTTTTTCCCTCTTATTATCACAGTTGTCTCTTGATATTTTGTCGATTTCGGTCTCCTTGATGGGATAAACGTAATTTTATTAATTTGTTTTAATCCAAGCCTAATAGCAACCTTTAAAAAAAATATTATCATTAATTCAAAGTGTTAAATAAATACTCATTGATTCCTCATCAAAAAATATGAAAAGTTTAAAAAAATAGTGTTGTAATTATCTTAAACGCCATTATTTATTTTAACTTGCTGTAGGTAGCACAGAACATCAGTGTAATAAATTTTAATAAACTTTAACATTAAATTAAATTAAATACATAATTTATTAATTTAATTTTTATTTTAATTCTATTAATTAATTGTGATTAACACAATTGCGTTTATCTCATCAAGGAGATCAAAATCGGCAAAATATTAAGATACAACTTTTAATCGGTATTAAAAGGCCTACACAATTTTACTCAGGTTATTTACTATCTATAGTTATATTTTACTATCAAGGAAAAAAATCAGTGGCGCACACTTTTTTGACACTAAAATATGTAGCATTTACACAGGGTGGCGCACCTCATTCGATCATCGCCTCGGTTGATTATACGAGAACGGAAAAATGTAGAAACAAAATATTTCATGGGTATATCCGGGAAGGCAGTGTGCATAATTTAAAATTATTTTGAAATTTACAGGGTATGTCAGAACTAAGATCTATACCAAAGTAGATCTATACCTAATATTTTTTCCTATGGAACACCCGGTATTTTATTTCATTTTTGGATTCTTGAACATAAAATAATGCATTTATTATAAGGGTTTAGTATGTTTAAAAGCTTTGGTTTTTGAGATATTTAAAGATATTTAAATATGCATGCTATGTGCTATAATAAAAAAAGTTTGTCAACACCTCGTTATATTTCAGAATTAATTCTTGTGCTAACTTTTTTTTTTGACCCTCAAAACTTCATTCGAATCGCTAAAAGCACTTGGAAGAAAATTATAATAAATTTTTAAAAAAAGAAAAATTTTAATCCCCTGTAGCTACGAAATAAAGTAAAATCAGACTTACATGAAGAATCTCCCTACGAGAGATATAGCACATGTTTTTTGAAACACCCTGTATATTACTATATTGAGGCAGGTCACTTACGTAGCGAGGATAAATAATGAAAGATGTACTTCCAAAATTACCGGTAAAAATACTAAGGAGACGTACTAATATAAAACGGAACTACAAGATTAGGAAACACAACAAAACTGCAAACTGCACCAATCGGCTCAACAAAATGTATGAACGCAAATGAATAGGCCTAGTGATTCTATTCTTAGGTCTAATAACACCTGATAACTAATTTATTTGTTCTAGAGTTTAATTTTGTGTTTGTCGTGTTGTTATTCTGACGTAAAAATAATTTTTGTTTATTCTTTTAGTTAAGTAAAATAAAGTTTATAAAATGCTGTGTTATCCTATGGCACCTACAAGAAAAGCCTTATCCTGTAGCATAGATAAAGCGTTTTTTCAGTATAACACACACAATAAGTCTGCCTACATTATAAAATAACTTCAGTCTTAACTACTAGTCGTCGATAATTTTTACTACATTTGTAAAAAAATCCGTGCAATTTTACTAAATATGACGCTAGGTAAGCGGTATTCTGTCTCACTACGCGTCGATGTTTTAGATAGATGTTATGGACTGCCAATAAATTAATATAGAAATTCTATCATATTTGCCATGAAAAATGTTTTTGATTGAGAATAAAAACCGAAATAAAAAAACTATGACGCGTAGAGCCATAAGTATATGTCAAAAACTCGATCAGAAAAAGTTACTAAATTATTGCTAATAAATAAAGATTTCGAAAAACTTACCCCTTTAAAATGCGTAACACAAGCTTCTAGGAAGATTGGACTATAAAAAAAACCACTCAGGCACAAGAATTTCCGTAAAAATATTAAAAAAAAAACAAATATTTTTTTTGCGCGCCTCTTTTTCTGCTACATATATGTTTACAACTGACAAAATTGTTGTTATTTCTGTAGTGTGCTGAGACAGTTTGACAACCAATGAGAGTATTTTTTGTTATTTATGATCTTTGAACAAAGGACACTGCGATTGATTGTTATTTTTACTTACATTATTGATGTTTTGATAAAAATCCCTAGGTATTTGCGAATAAATGTTTTAATAATATAATTCAAAATATTTAAATAACTTTTAAAGTTACGTTTACGAGATTTTACATAAAATATATATATTTAACAATTTTATGTATAATTAAAATACAATAATATATTTTGAACGTATAACGAAAACTTTATTATAATAGTATTAAATTTTCAGTCTTTTCTTAAAAGTATTTCCGGTTAAATCAATTAATGTTGCAACCAAAGTCATCTGAATAAACACCCTTTTTTAGATGTCTTTGATTGCAACCATTACCCGTCGGAAAAAAGGCGTCACAGTGACCCCTTACTCTTAAATCTTAAATAATTGTCAATGATAAAATGTCTGTCGTGTCGACCTCCATATCATTTATTAAAAATAGTTACTATACATCAGAGCTATACATTTTTATAAGTGAACCGCCGCTGTAATCAGTGAAAAGAGATTTTAATCGGTATTCTAGTTGGCAGGGCAAATAGTCTCCTAAATGCCAGCTAAAAATATCTTAGTTCTTATTTTCAAAAGTTCGTTTTAATCTTGCGTTTTAATAAGATTTAACATAATGATTATAATTTCTTATTTATAAGCTAGTTATATATTTTTAATTATTAGTATTCATTACATTAATAAAATATTATTAATACTAACATCACAGATAACACATAATCCAGATGGCCATTGCTTACGGAACAGCATGTTTTCGATGAGACAGTTCCCTATTAATGACACAGAGGGCGCCTATAGCCAAATCTAATAATATTTTTAAAACGAACGAATTTGGAGCCACACCACGGCCACGCGATGTGAAGCGACGTAGCCGGTTGTTCATATTTATAAGCAAATTCCCGGTCAAACCCAGGGAAAATGTATATACGGACTTTAATACTATACAATTGGATATGAAAATACTAGTCGCAGTGGATGTTTGAAAGTCAGAATTTCTAGATGAATATATATGCTATTTATAGCCATGAAATTTATAATTTAGATTTTATTTTTATTATTTGTCTCTTAATATTCATTAGCTGAAAATAAGGGTAAAGGTTATCTATATAGTAATAAATAAAATTTGGCACATAGGTTCCTTAAGTGATGTAAATGAGCACTAAGAAGGGATTTTTTGAAAATTCGACCACTAAGGGGGTGAAATTAGGGATGAAAAGCTGCATAAAAATTTGTTAAAATCTGGTTTAATTGAACACTAAGGGGCAATTTTTGGAAATTCGCTCGTTAAGGGGGTGATATGGGGGGTACTTTTGTATACAAAAAAAGCATGTCCTAGGACTACGAAATTTTGCACAGAGGTGCATTAAGTAGCGTAACTTAACAGTTCGATTATACAAAGCGATTTTAGGAAATTCTTCTACTAAGGGGTGAAACTGGGGGTGAAATTTTGCATATTTTTTTAAAATTAGTCCGAGGAATTTGAAATTTGGAAATTGTTAATTAAGCGACGAAAGTGAGTACTCAGAAACGAATTTTGGACATTCATCCCCTAAGAAATAAGGGATGAAAATTGGTATAAAAATTTGTCAAAATCGGTTTTAGAAGTATGAAATTCTGCGTAGACGTTCCTTATGTAACTTAATTTAGCACTAAGAGGCAATTTTAGGAAATTTTCCCTCTAAGGGGGTGAAATGAGGGGTGAACTTTCTGAAAAAAAATCTGTCCTAGAAGTATGAAAATTTGTACAGAGGTTCATCAAGTGATGAAAGTTATACTCAGAAGCGAATTTTAGGCATTCGCCCCATAAGAATTAAGGGATGAAAATTTGTACAAAAATTCATTAAAATCGGTTTTGGAAGTATGAAATTTTGCGCAGACGTTCCTTATGTAACGTAATTTAGCACTCAGGAACAATTTTTGGAAATTCGCCCTCTAACGGGGTGAAATGAGGTGTGGACGAAAAAAAAATTGCTTGTTATTGCTAAATTACGTTACATAAGGAACAAACAGAATTTCATACTTCTAAACCCGATTTTAACAAATGTTTGTACAAATTTTCATCCCTTATTTCACTCTCTTAGGAGATGAAGTGTATAGTCTATAGTATCTAATTAATAAATAATTTGATTTACTTTCACAACATTTGTATTGAAATATCAATATTTTTGATAAACGCGGTGACTGCTTACAAATACACGTCGCGTCACTACGTATTTCTAAGCCATAGGCTGTCTTTACCACTTTTAGTCTCGCTTAGCTTGTGTTTCACGGCCTTGAATTTTTACTTCCAGCGCGCGTTAAGAAGTTTCACTTGAAAAACGTATTAAAACATTCGCAAGAGGTACAAAACTACCAGGACTAGATATATGTTAGGACAGTGGCACATCTAGACATAGAGTTTGGCAGTACTTAAGTAAAGTAATAAATTAAATTTAGTTTGCACTTGGAGATATTATGACTGTGGAAAACAAAAGTTGGATTGGTCTTGTCTTTTAAAGTAATTATTGGCATTATTAATTTCTCTTGTGATAATTTTATTTGATTTATTGTGATCTTTTCCACCATTTTACCCCCCATTACCACTCCCGTATGTACGCTTCCACATAGACTTAATCAAGGTAACATTTCTGATGAAGAATAAAGTAGCAAATATTATGATACCGATTGTAAACAAATACCTAAATGTGGAAATCAATAGCGGGTAATTACATGTTAAAAAATAATCCCATTTGAAAAGAATGTTAAATATGCAAAAAAAACACAGTAGGCGTCTGTCAACACTATTGATTTAATATTATTTGATTTGATTTGTAGTGCCATTAAAACATCAAATTTTAATTTTCAAGCACTACCCGCTTTTTGAAAAGAACTGATATTTTAATTTAATGTGCGGTTCTAATGCAAAAAAATATGTTTACTTAAAAAACGGTCGGAGAACAATACAAAATATATCTAGTAAAATATTGAAGTGGCTTTTCAAATTAGTAATTAATAATAATTAAATATTAATATATTAATAATAATACTGTAATATAATAATATTGTAATTTTGGGTCACCCTATATATATAACCTATAGAATAAATTTGTAGGAAAACATCAAATCGAAAAATGTTATATTATGAAAACTCTTATTCTCTAACAAGTTTATAACAAACTTATTTATGTACCTACGTTTCCTATAAAACAATTACAATATTTCTTTGAGAAAAATTTCTACGGCTATTTCTGTCCTCTAAAAACACCCCGGCTGTAACCACGGCCCTGTAGGTTATATAACAAAACAATGGAAAAATATCATAACGAAAAGTTGTACAGAGTGTCTCATTTTCGTGTTTTACATTTGTGATTTCTCTTTTATTATTAGAGGTACAAAGATGCGGTTTCCACATATTTTTTTATAAAACTAAAGATGATACACATAGATATGTGATTTTATAAAATATTGTATATTAACACTGTCAAATTTTTCTTAAAATTTCTTTTATAAAAGATCTCTGACAAAGAAATTTTATAGTGTTTATAGCGACCTAAGAAAGATATGACAAATCTGTATGTAGCATCTATATTTTCTTTTTTTTAAAAGTGCAGTGATGTGAAAACCACATATTTGTATCTCTACTCATAAACGAGAAACCCCATAAAACACACGAAAATAGAACACCCTGTGTAGTATTATATGTACCTCAATCAGTATCAATATTGATGTATGCAGGGATATTCGAAAAATATCTTTTTTTTGAAATTTTTAGTCATAATTATACAAAACCAAAATTCTAATTTGTATTTATTTCTCACTGGTTCGCGATAGAATGTCAAAAATCGAAAATGCTGATTGTTCGAATATCAATTATTTTGCAATGGTTATTGGATTATTATAATTTTCCACCATAATAGATATATCGTCCAAATGTCTTATGTTGTTCAGCATTCTAAATTGGTTTTGCTATAAATGTCAGTGTCGAATTAGATGAATGTCCTGTACATATATCGTATGATTGAAAAAAAGCGCATTAAGTTGGCTTGGAAATGACGGTCGTCAACATCGCCTATAATAATTTTACATATATAATGACAGCAATTAATATATTCAAAAGCAATGCTGACAACGAATTTTATTCGGTCGTAAGTACACGTTCGGGATCTCAGTTTGGAAACTCTAGTCGTGAGATAATGATATACAGATGCATGTCATGTTGATTTGGAAGTGACAATCGATAAGATTTATCATATAATTTTACATACCTATTAAACGACAGCGATCTTCATTTCCAAGCCCACTCCCACGCCGTTTTTTTTCGATCGTATGGTATATTCAATAATTGCATTACTTATAATTTATAACAGTTTATGTTCACTGATTCATTTATAATTTATATCCACTTAATTACTTGATTTATCCATCATAAACTTTGCATAGATAAAGAAATAACGATGGACAATTCTTAATGTGTTAAATCATACCGTATGATCCAAAAAAAAGGCGTCCGATTGGCTTGGAAATGATGGTCGATGACATTCCCCATATAATTTTACATATCAAATGACAGCGATCTTCATTTCATAGCCATCGCTGACGCCGTTTTTTTCGATCAAACGGTATATGGTAAAAAGCCATCGATCACCATTTCTAAGGTAACTTAACGCCGTATTTTTACATACAAAATGTGCAAAAAATTCTATATGAATGAACTCACCACAATTTTCTATCCACTTTGTACATAAATTAGGATCTCTTGACGCAGGAAACTTAAACATATGTACACCTGATTTCCGAGAAATCCCACAATTATAAAATTGGCACTTATTACCAGACATTTTAATAATAATTATCACTAATCACACACAGTTATAATCAAAGACAGTCAAAGGTAAATTACCCGCCTTTTAAAATATCCGTTAAAAACAAAAGACAGTAACGACATATCTAAATCTCCTATCTTTGTCGCATATGGTTCGTTCCTTTATTATTCCGTGATAAGGGAAGGAATAGAGATTTTCTATGATAAGTGGTAAAGCTAGGTTTTCATATGTACAAATTTGAAAAACTTTCCAGGAAATTCGGTCATATTATTTTCATTAATAAATTGTTTATCATAAATAAATTTATTAAAAAAAAAATTTTTGAACGAATATTCAAATTCTAAACGTTTCAATTAACAAAAAAAATTGGCCAAGTGCGAGTCGGACTCGCGCACGAAGGGTTCATTATCATTGAATGTACCATTCGCACATTATCTATACAACATCAGACATTATATTATTGTAAACTTTTTTTCCGATTTAGCTGAAATTTTGAATGCGCTTGTAAGTAATTTAAAAAAAATGAAGAAACACATTGCTAAAAATTGTATTAATCAATAATAAATAAGTAAAAATAAATATGTAAAAATATGTAAAAATAAAAAAAAAGATTAAGAAAAAGTCACCTTGCCTACGATTCGAACCTGCCTCACTACGTCTCAACGCCTTCAAATCCTAAGTGTGCGAACACAGTGCAAGCAGGTTTGCCGCTTTCTGGTAGCCAGCGCCAATCTGGGTACCTATTCTTGACATCGTTCGCAACTTTGCGTATACGCATCACGTGTATTGTTATAAACAGGGTATCCCAGAAATAAGTGCAAGTATTTTAAAGGGTGGTAGATCTCGATAAAAGAAACATATTTTCTCTTTATCGTTTTTCAAATAAGTCCAAAATAACGGAGTTATTTTACTTTGAAAATTTCCAAAAAAAATGATTTTTTGCTAAAATTTTGAGAACCTTCTTCATGTGCCTTCTCCTCATCGGAGGTTGGCGACCATCAATTGGAATTCCTCCCTGTCTTGAGCCAAACGGATAATTGCACTTGCCTCTCCTATATTAAACCACTGGCGCAAATTCCGCAAGCAGGAAAACCGTTTACGCCCGATGCCTCGTCGTCCTTCAATCTTTCCCTCAACGATCAGCTGTAGGAAACTATATTTGTTATTTCGAAAAATATGACCAAAATATGCTGCTTTCCGTCGTTTTATTGTAGTCAATAGTTCTTGGTCCTTACATATTCTTTCCAATACTTCGAGGTTTGTTTGAGAACCACTGGATCTTTTCTGGATTTTCTTTCTTATAAATTTAATCTACTACCTATGTTGCCATATTATCAAGAAATTATTTTTTTTAAATAAAAACTAAAAAAATTGCAAAAAAATTCCAAAAATATTTTCAAAAAATTCCGAATTTTCAAAAAAAAATTATTTAGAAAAAAACCTCATAGGCGTTTTTCTGGGGTTGAACTATATATACTACCAGTTAAGTTAAAATACTTGCACGTATTTCTGGGACACCCTGTATATGGTTACATAGTAGCGCCGCGCCGCGCCGCCTCGCGCTTATAACCTTGAAAAATTAAAGCGTGTTATCAAATCGGCTAGTTCACAGTGAAAGCAGGTAGGAGCCGTCAACCAGCGTTCATCGGCGTTCTCGCTTTTACCGGAACGAAAATTTATTTATTTCTGCTTTTGCAGGCGCCGACGGCGCACAGAGGGTATTAAGAACTAAAAGTTGGCCGAAATTATGTTTTATGATTTTTTTGCTTTTTTGCTAGTAATATTAATTATTAGAGGAGAGGGTGCTAATATGGAACCTCATTTTGTTTTTCCTACACAATATTTTTCCTCTACTCTGAAACCCTTTCCACCGATCAAATAGGGCCATTCTGTGCAAAACCAAGCAATTGGATGAGGATGCTAGAACAAGAAAGTAATTTGTATATTATCGACGATATTTGAGGGAGGATGGGTGTTATAGGGTAAAGACTATTTTCTTTAAGAATCTATTTAAATCAATGTTTTTTTGGCAGTGGCAAATATTGGCAAGATTTTTGTACATATTCCAAAGCTGGAGACTTTAAGCATTGAACGGATACTAATTTCAATGCGGAATATTGCCGAATAGTCTTACACCTTATAAAAATGCCTCTGATTTTTTAAAATATAAAACATTATAAAGAAATAGAATAGAAGGAAACGTTTCAAAAAAAAATATGGCATAAAACAGGACTTGCCAGCTAGCTTTGTATCCATCATGACAGTTATTATAAACAATTTGCACACACAAAAAAGCACTACAAACAATTCCACTATTTTATAATCTTAGAAATATTCAGAATACATTTAAGATAATTCATACTTATAATTGAGATATATTATTTATTTGATAGTCAACTTACGACTTAAAAAAAGCTAATAAACGTGCTTACATTTAGTATTTATAGATTTGTATTCAGTTAAGATAAAAAATGAAAATAAAAAAAATATCACTTTTGGCCAGGTTTATAGACCAAATACCCCTATGTGCGGCCCCGGGGCGGCGGGCGCGGCGTTTCAATATGGTTAGGATAGGTTAGTTAATCAGGTAAATTTCCTCTTAATTAGCTACTTCCGAACCCTGCTCGCGTCTCCGAAAAAGCTATATAACAATACACGTGATGCATATATGCAAAGTTACGCATCACGTGTATTGTTATATGGCTTTTTCGGAGATGCGAGATGTGAGCCATATTTGAAGATGCGAGTGATCAAGAATAGGTGCCCAGAGACGGCGCTGGCTGCCGGAAAGCGGAAACCTGCCTCCACTATGTTCGTACCCTAACGCCTTTAACCACACGGCCACTCGAGGACTTAAATATTCTGTGTAAAATTCTTACTTAAACGATAATGTTTAGTGAAAGTACTTTTTTATTTATAAACATTTATTTAATTCTGTTTTTAGAATTTGTTCTTATAGCGGCAACATAGATACATTATCTGTAAAATTTTCAACTGTCTAGCTATAAAGTTAGTTAATAAGAATTAATAGGTGTAGCATATTTCAACATCATTCACTGGTTTTAAAAAGATCAAAAAATATGCATGTGTGTTTATAGTATAAATGAATTGCTCCTTACGTTAGTTCTTATTGATATAATAGCAAAAAAGTATAAAGTATAAGCGCAATTTTATTAAAAATATGTTATTCTAAGTTAGAATAACATAGAGTTAAAAAATATGTGTTACAATTTCTAACTCATATATTTTTTAACTCTAATGTTCTAAATTAATTGTTCAAAATATAATTGTTATTTTTTTCCTAGGAAAGATAAAACTTCATTAATTTTCATAAATAAATTTATTTCTATTAAATTTTATAGAGCAATTTGTACTACAGTTTTATTTCACATTTTGTAATACTGCTTCGGTGCAGTGCCCCATTGCTATCTGTGAGTTCATTCCAATTATGAAAAATCACTACTGATCTAGAAGATAAAATGTACCTAAGTACCATAATATTATAATCAAAAATGACTAATTTTGTAAATTATTACCTATAATGGTTAGATGAGATGCATGTAAACTTCTTTAGGCTGGTTTCTTAAAGTTAGGTGATATTAATTATCTTCGCATCATCATAGGCTCTAATCAATTGTAGATTATTCTTCAATCAACCTGAAATATGTAATATTATTTACTTTATATCTATGAAAAATTATCATTTTCTTTATGAAAATTTTGAGTTTAAATTTAAATGTGATTAGAATAAATATACGTCACTAATTAACATTTTATCACAGGTAATATTCTATATTACTTTATGTTTACTTTTGTGAAAATATTACTTACCTATAATATTTAAACGAGTTCCTGAATGTACAATTTTACTTGTTTATCGCGATGCCGAGTTCTGAATCTTGTATTGGTTGTCTAAAACTGTTTGATTTTGCTTAGTTATATTGTATCCTATATTTTATTAAACAAACTCAAAATAATGTTTATAATTACCTTCATCAGCCTTTATACCATTAAAAGTCATTATTATCAGTTATTATTATGTAGTATGTAGTTATTTCTTTGAGTTATTTGTTGTTGTTTGTTTTCAAAGATCATTTTTGAGGTTAATGTCATATGAAACTTTTCGTAATTAGGCAACTGGTAAATGACATGTGACGATAAATTAATAAAATAATAATGTACGTATTAAGTTAAATATTTATATATTAATTTAACATCCGGTATTACCTAACATCCATATCTATTTCATGTTTATAAATTACATAATTTTTAATTTTATATATTCATAATGAAATGAAATATATTTCGATATAACGTTTGGCAACCACGCAACTGAAGTGCAAGCGACATCTGTGCAAGAGAAGCAAAACCTCCCAAAAAAGTTAGAAAAGGAATCTAAAAATTTCAGATTATTCAAATGTCACTCCAATATTTTCCCAAATTGGAGTGAAATTGGGGTGACAATTTTTAACACGTAAGGAGCCATCTGGATTATGTGTTATCTGTGCTAACATATTTTAAAATTTTATTTAAAATCAACAACCAATAAAAGGATATAAAAATTATTTAAATTTTGTAGGGGTAGGCAACTAGTTATACAATCCGGAAAATGTTTAAAATGTCATAATTGTCATGTCATATGTCATTTGTCATTTTCTATAAAAATAAAAATAAGCTGTGAACTGTGTAGGAAATTTTCCGCATATTTGTAGTGTTTCACGCGAAAATAATTAGACGGAAGGAAGGATATAATTATTTATGATAAATTATTAAATATGGTAGGCTTCAGTGTGTATAATCTATCGGCCCAGAAACTTTCAAAAACTGTACCTGAAGATGTCTAATAAAGTCAAGAGAAAAATAACAGTGAATCTCACGCAAAAGTCCAAATCTCTGACGAAAAGTCGTCCGAGTGTGTTTGAACGTCTCGGCATTAAAGCGAGCTCCACCACACACAAAGCGGAATATTGCCATCACTGGGCACAAAGCGGTTCATGTCCCTACGGCAAAGGTACAACTCATTTCACTGTTCAACCCCTATTACGAATAAATACCTTATATGTTATAGGTTGTAAGTATTCCTCTACTCATACTCTTATCAGCCCATCGAAGCAGAGAGCTGCTAAGATCCAACCGGAACCGAAAAAGCGTCATGCAAAAGACGCCCATAAAAGGTTGCACGGTTCAGAACAAGGATGGGATCGGTGGGATCCAGATGAACTAGAAGATGCGGATCCTGATGATCTTGAAAGAAAACGACAAGAATTGCAAAGAGAATTAGAAATACAAATGAAAATGGAACACAAAGCTCGAAGGGTAACAAAATTATATATTATTTATAACGTAGTTAATTGTTTTAAGTGGAAAAATAACAAAAAAATAAACAATAAAACAATAAATAACAATAAATAAGTTAACAAATAACAAATATTTTTTAAAAGATATTTAGAAGAAAAAAAAAATTTTATGAAAAAGTTTTTTTTTATTTAATATATTAAAAATATCGAAATATGACGATAATTAAGACAGTGGCGGAAATTAGATTAGTTACCATAAGTGTTTTATATATTTTTTCAGAAAGAAAAAAAGGTTAGAAAGGAAAGCAGTCCTTCCAGCGACTCTTCTTCAACATCAACCGACTCGAGTTCAACCAGCGACGAGAGCAGCTCATCCAGTTCAACATCGATCGACACAAAACGCAAGAAACTGAAAAAATCCAAAACCAAACGAAACAGTTCATCCAGCTCGGAGGACCGCAACAGAAAACAGCACAAAAAAACCGTCAAGCATCAGTCCTCAAAATCAGCCACGACAAGGGATAAACCTAAAAAAATTAAGTCGCACCCTGTTAAGCCGCCAGTGAAGTCTCCGTCACCTGTGCGTGTTAAAAAGAAGTCTGAAACGCCACCTATTAAACCGAAGGCGGTACTAACGAAGAAGGATATTTTGGACACGAAGTCGCCCAGGCCGTTGAGTAGGTCCAGCGACAGGAAGGAGAAGCACAGGACTCCGAGTCCGAAGAGTAGTAGAGAAAAGGAGAGGGAAAAGGAGCGTGAGAGAGAGAAGGAACGCGAACGGGAGAAGGAAAGAGGTAATGTAAGATATAAGTTGTAATTTATTTTTATATTGAGTAAAAATGATTTTTAAATGGTGTAGTTTAAAATTCGAGAAAAAATACTTTTTTGGAAATAAATTTGTGTATTTTTGACCAGTTTTATGTCAATTTTTAGCAAATGACGTCTAGAGATTGACCTCGCCAAAATAGTCATTGATTCTCATTCCCCAACCGTCTTTGACGTCGTTTTTTTTTCGATCATACAATATAATTATAAATATGATTTTAGAAAAGGAAAAAGAACGTGAAAGAGAACGAGAACGTGAAAAAGAGCGAGAAAAAGAACGCGAGAGGGAACGGGAAAGAGAACGCGCCAAACAAAGAGAAAAAGAACGAGAAAGGGACAAAAAGAAAGACTCGAGATCGCCGAGAAGAGACAACAAATCCTCGAAAGATAATAAAAAGAGAGAATCTCCCGATTCTAATCACTCCAGAGATAGAAAAATATCTCCTACTAGTAGATCAAAAACTTCTGGAAGTAGCTCTAGGAGAGATCAAAGAAGTCCGGACAGAAGAGACAAACGAGATGACAGACCACGGTGAGATACTTTAAAACGTCTTAATTTTAAATAATTTTACACTAAATTTGTTGTTTTTTTAGTTCAAGAGCTAAAGACAGATCCACCACCGACAAGAGAAAAGATAAGCGAGAATCGAGAGACCGAGATCGGGACAGGGATCGCGATAGAGACAGAAGGAGGGACGATAGAGACGCTGCAAGAGAGAAAGAGCGCGAAGAGGCTCTGGCCAGATGCCAAGAGAGGCAGAGAGAAAGAGAGAGGCTGAAGGAGTTGGAAAAGAAAGACAATGATAGAAGAGGAAGAGACAGAGGCAGGAGAGAAGATAGAGGATTGGATAAACCGACAGGTAAGAATATAATTTTGAGGTTTTTAAGGTGTATCTTTGAGAGTATCTTTTGTGAGTATATTTGTGGTGTAGTATTTACTAGGAATGTCCAAATATATCGATACTGTGAAATATCGATATTATCGATATTTTAATAGGAATGTTCTAATATATCGATATTTTGAAATAACAATATTTTTATTTTTATAATTTTATTAGCTTACTTTTATTATTTACTTCTAGTTTATTTTTACTGGCATTTTTTTGCATATCTAGGAACTTTTTTTCTTATTTGGTTATTGATAAATTGGCAAGTTTTATGTCTATTGTTAATGAAATCATCGACTCATTCTTATTTCAAGGCACTTTTGAACACCAAGGGTTATTTTTTATCTCATGTTTTAGCTGTAGGTACACTGTACACAATGTCAAAATGTACTTTTGTAGTAGAAGTTAACTCTGATTTTATTTTTTAAAAAATCGATAATTTGATAATATCGATTTTTTGAAACATTTCTAACAAAAACTATACAGGTGATTTCGTCGAACGTGAGAGTTAGATAAACCTATAGATAAGATCTTAGACAAGGAAAGGTAAGATAGTAAATTTTGTGGTGTATTTTACTAAGAATGTCTCGGCATATCGATATTTTAAAATATCGATAATTTTCCTTGTATAATTTAATTAGTTTCCGGTTTGTTAAAATTACTTTAAATTTATTTTTACCGACTAGATTTTTTTGTATGTATTTTATATCAAAATTTCTTTTTTACATCACATTTAGTAAACGAAAATAATTTTGTCAGTGTACAAGTGAGTTTAATTCTCATAATATGTGACTTCAATTGGAGTGTCCATTGTCATTTGAGGGATTTAATTCCGGAAATTAGTAAGATAATACTAAATTATTTATTTTACGTAAAAAATATATATTTTATTAAAAAAAGTATCGATAGTTCGATATATCGATTTTTATGCACATCCCTAATACAAAAAATATACAGGTGATCGCGTAGAACGTCTCCTCCCGCTACCAGAAGACAGAATACCACCAGGTAGACGTCATTCCGCAGAGAGGGACAGGAGAGACACCCGAGGTCATTCGGTAGATACGCGCAAGTCCGGAAGAAACAGTCCTGACAGACATGACAGAATCGATCGGGATATACACGATCGCAGCTTCGACAGAGAGAGAGGTTATGACAGAGAACATGATGACAGGAGTAGAGACTATGGCGGATTGGGGGCCAGAATGCGCGATGACAGGAGGTAAGCAAAGTTTTATTTTGATTATAGGGTGATCTACTATCCTAGAATAAATGATAAAGAAATTTTCTGGAATTCGTATATTAACTTATTTCTTTTAGAGGAATTGTTGAAACTGCAAATTATTAATCTTTTTTTTTTAAATCCATTTCTGAAAGATTTGTCATTTTTTGGGTCTTCTTTTATTGTAATTATTTAGGCTTGAAGACAAGGATTATGAGAGCCCTTACGATCGTAACAGACATGACGACAGAAGATACTTGGAGATGGAGGACCATTATAATGAAGGTTCGAGAGATGAAAGGTTGCCTGTGGATGGGAGAGACTACCTTGATGATAGGAGAGGCGGAAGAAGAGATATGTGGGACATGAGAGATGACAGAGTTGATATGGAAAGGTAAATAGCTCAGAAATGTCTTTAACAATGTTATTGAGTGAATGAGTATAATAAATATTATAGTTTATTAGTCTTTCTCTAATGAAATATAAACGAACCTACGGTACCCAGCTCTCTGAATTGTGGTAATTTGTTTTTTTATTTATAATAAGTTCTTGATAACTAAATCTGCTACACACTTATTTTGGCGCCCAACGTGGGGCTCAAAAATGTATCCTAAAAATATACAGTAAGAATACTGAATTTACAAAAGATAATATAACATCTTTATCCGTTGGGATTTAAACCAACAATTTTTCAATTTTGGGATTTTATTTCTTGTGTAAAGGTTATTCAATTTTTGAATAAGATAGGCTGAAGATAGTTGGATAGACTTTATCTAAAGTATTCTGTGGTATTATTACTCAATATTGTGTGTTGTATAGGGGTAGAGGCTATGGTAGAACCGACGCAAGAGGGGGAGGTTCGGGAGTAATAAAAGGCAGAGGCGATTGGGTCGATCCAGAATATACAGAACACGAATGGGATAATAGAGGAAGGAGACCACTGGAATGGGAGAATAGAGATGGTTGGGAAAATATGGACCGACCGCATCCAACTGACGAAGAATGGAGACATTACAATCGTGGAATGGACAATTGGCCTCCGGATGACAGGAGAAGATGGCCGAACCGCGAATGGCGGGAAAGGGACAATTCTAGACCAAGAAGCGCGGCCTCCCATAACGTTGATTCAAATACTAACGGTAAGTGTTTCGTGTTTGTTATATGCTTGGTGCATTTCAGTTCATTTTAAAAATTCCGACTGCTGCTTATACTGTTTGTTTGGTGTTTTTGTTGAAGTCCAAATATTGTTTTCGACATTTCACACTTTAAATATTAATATAACTATTTAATTCTAGAAGACTCCAACACCGAAAGTCGTCGAAAAGAAGTTACCCAACCGAGACCAGAAACGGTAACTTCCGAACATGTACCAGAACAAAAACCAGTAATACTTTGAATCTTTTTCTTTTGAATAAAAATGTATAACAAAATGAATTTCAGGCTCCAGTTGTTCCAGTAGCAGCAGCAGATCCAGAAAAAGACTCTCCCGTACCAGCCGCTGTTAAAAGACCCGCAGAAGAAACTGCGGAGGGTGCAACCGAAGCCAAACGGCCGTGTCTTGAAGCGGCTGCGCCTGTTTTGGACGATGACGCTTTGAGTGAGATTAGCGATGACGCTGATGACATATTAAACAGAGACGAGGTTAGTAATTAAAACTTTAAATAACATCAGCTTTCCGCCAAAACTTATAATTGTTTTGGAGCGCATACCTTGTAGGGCACTGCTATAACGGTTGCTAAGAACAACCGCAAACAAAAACGGAAATTGTTTTCTCTTGTCAACATCAGAAACTTCAAAAATTATAAAATCTTTCAAAATTTAAACCGAAAAGTGTTTAAAGCGGCCATTTTCAAAGCAATTATTGCTATCTTCTGAGGTTTATTTAAATTTTATTTATTCAAACCCGTGATAATTGTGAAAAAGTGGCATTAAAAACTTAAAAAGCTGTGTGAACTGTGAACTGCAAAAACCATCGTGGATCGTGGTATAACGTTGGTTTCCAATGTTTCATAGGTACTTCATGCATGTCCCTATATAAAATAAAGTTTCTTATATGCAGCACTGTATTTTTAAAAAATAATAAATTTCAATAAACAATATTAGGCGACATAATTCCGGAAAAAGTCGAGCCGCTCCGAAATTATCAAAAGCTTTGGAGAGCGACCGTTGTAAGAATAGCGCCAAATAGTTTTACATTGACCTTATGAGCACTTTGCGATCTAAATTTGTTGTTTTTTTATCTATGCGTTAACCTCTTCAATCATATCATCATTAAGTTATTATTTCACAAAGTTTTTGGCCAATTTTTAATAAATGGCATATAGCAGTTGGCCTGACAGAAATTATATAATCGATTTTCAATTTCAGAGACCGGTGTGACGCCGTTTTTTTTAAATCGACTTCAAAATTTTTTACACGGAGAATCCATTTTTTCATTAAAAAACCAATCGCCTAAATTTATTAGCGCTTTTTTTTCTTTCTAGGTTTTTTTAATGTCAACACAAATAATATGTTTTTTACAGGAAATCGTGGATGAAGTTGCCGAACAACCACAACCCGACCAGACCGATGGCGACGCAGCCACCACCACAGACTCAACACAACTACCTAACACGCCTCAAAAATCACAATCTCCATCCAGATCTCCGGCAAAGAGCGTCCCCAAAGAGGAATCCATAGACGGCGAAAACATGGACCTCGATTTCGAGGAAATTTCCGAAGACGAACTGGACGAAGAATCCAGAATCAAAGGCATTGGTGACGCTTTAGGCGTGGACTGGGCTAGTTTAGTAGCGGAATCGAGACCCAGACTTAAACCCACGAGTTCTGCCAAACTCCGATGGGAACCCCACAATATCTTGGTCAGTCTTGGCGTTTCTGTTGAACTAGCCGGAGAAGATTTAGTCAAGAACATCCTCAGAGAGCATGCTGAAGCTGAAATGAATGAACAAGCTGAAGAGACTTCAAAAGTCAACAATGTTAAAATCAAAGTAGAACCAACTGAAGTTACAGCTAACGGTATCAAAGAAGAAATAAAGGAAGAGCCAGAAATTCAAATAAAAGATGAACCTAAAGAAGACTACTTTGAATCTAAGATTGATCCAGAAGATTTAAACATTTCTCATCCGATTGCTGCTATTCAGGTGGCCAATCAGGAGAAGCAACAGGCTAGAAGGACGTTGTTTTCGAGTGTGGGGCCCCATCGCAGGGCTCTATCAGCCAGACGGGATCTGGCACTCAGAAGACACTTGTGCAACTTGCCTATTAACGATGCTTACGTCGAAGCACCTAAAAGACACGATCCCGAGTTGTTTAAAATAGCAACTCAGTTGTTTGAAAGGTGCCTATAAAAGTTTTGTTGGTTTGAGTTAATTTTATAACGAGAGACAATTGTAGTTTATAAATTTAGTTTTATTTAATTATGGTAGTTACAATTATTTTCATTAATATATTTGGAAATGATTATAAAAACTTGAGGACAATAATAAGATTTATTTATTCTTTTAAGAGATAACTAAGGTCCGATCCTACATCAATTTCAACTGGATCTTTATTTCTAAAATTTAAAAAAATGTATTAAATTTATTAATATCATACAATTCGAAAAGGTTTACTTTTCGAAAAGTCTGGCTCTGTGGATTCCTTTTAAAATTGCACTATTTCCTTCAACATACAGTGTTGAGCCTTCTCTCAAACCTAATACCGTGAAAGCATCTTCCTCTTCTTGATACTGTAAAATTCTTTCTTCCCTTGTTTCACCTTTATGTTTTGAATCAGGGTCTAAGTCCAAATAATGAGGATTTATGTTGAAAGGCACTAATTTAAGAGCATCAAAACTGGGTGGGTATACTATGGGCATGTCGTTAGTTGTATTAATACTTCTGGTTGCTACATTAGTTCCTGTGAAATTATATACATCTGTATAAAAAGTTTATTTTTTTAACAAAATTTTTACCTGCGCTAGCACCAATATAAGGAATTCCATCTTCCAAAACTCGTTTTCTAATTGCCTTAACTAAATCCAAATCGTACAACTTTTTGAGTAAGCGAAATGTATTGCCACCTCCAACAAAAATAGCTTTTGCTTGGTTTACTGCCTGAACTGGATGTTCCTGAGTGTGGATTCCAACAACCTTATATCCTAATATATCAGGTAATTGTATATTATATATAAGAGAACTAGGTAAATAGTATAAATAAATACAAAATGTTACTTACCCCACTGTTTAAACGGTTTTTCTACGCGTTTTACATATTCATCATGATTACTTAGAGCGTATGGAACAAACAGCACTGAAGAAACATTGTTCCTTTAAAAATAAACGTATAAATCTTAAAAATGTTCATTAAAAGTGCATTTATATTACTACTGAATTAAAATTATAATAAATTAACTTATGGTGTATAACTAAGGTGTATAATAATTTACCTGGAAAGTAAATCGTTTATATCCTGAGAAGCATATTCCAGAAATTCGTATCCATGAACTTTGGAGGAAGAAAGCAACAAAATTTGTCTTTTAGACATCTTTAAAAATAAGCGTCTAAGTATTATGAGAGCTAAGAAAAATTGATGATAAACTCAATCAAATTATATTAGATGATCCTTTTATCAATTTCTTATCAATAAATCAATAATAATCAAAAGATTAGTAAATCAAATAAAAATTTCTCAGCTCATCAGCTGAATTTCCAAAATATATGTGAAGTTTGCCACAATTCAAATTTTATTTGACAGCTGTTATGGCTCAAATCGCCATAAAGTGATTTAATTTCTACCCAACCCTACAGAACAAAATCACATAATTATTAAATGAAGATTAACGGCCTTGGTTTTTTTCGCCGTTGCCAGCTCAATAAAATTTTCGGGAAAGCTTGGAATAAAATCACATTCATGAAATTTTCTTTATTCAAAAACAAGTCCATTGTGTCCTATTATATAATACTTATTCCTAATTTCATAAATTACAGTCACATTAACATTTTAAATTAATACAATACATTAATTTAATGCCCTATTAGGAATGTATTCTTAAATAACTAAAAACATACCTACAAAATATAATTTTGATCATGCCTAAAAATTTTGTAAAACAAAATAAACCTTAAGTGGTTTTTACTCAAATACCTAGCCCTTATCTAATTTTTCTTTTTTTTATAATAAATAAAAACATAAAATAGTTATTAGAGTTGTGAAGTAAAAAAAGTTAAATTATAGACAATCTAATTTTAGAAATATTTAAAAAATAGTAGTATACCAAAGCTTGTTAGCATTAATTTAGATATTCATATATTTTTTTCAAGATAATTCGTTAAAAATATCTATTATATTCGAAAAAATAATATATAACTTTAATTTTCCTGCTTAACTTAGTTTGTACAAATAATGAAATAATCGTGAATTAAAAAGCAAATAAACGGGTAATACCGTATGATAGAAAAAAAAACGGCGTACAGTTGGCTTGTAAATGACGATCGATAACATATAAAATTACAGCCATCGCTGACGCCGTTTTTTTTTCGATCGTATGGTATGATTTACAAGTAAATCGAACTAAAGGTCATCTATAAATTGTATGAATAAAATAACAATTAAATAATATGTAATGTAATTATACAGTAATAATTATCCCTTTCATAATTACTTATATGAGCTATCTATGACATATTCATACTTTGTGCTATTAAAGAAGGTTTTTGGCTCCAAATTGCATTGAAAGTTAACAGAAAAAAATAGAAATAAAAGACCGAGAAAAATAAATTTTTCTTAAATCTTTTCAAATATTCAATATAATACGGGGAGATATAACTATTAATCTCTCAAATATGCTCTCAAAAAGTTGTCTGCCTTAAAAAGTTCACATAAACAGTTCCTGGGAATTTAATGTACCAAAATTATAAATAAATCAGTATTACATTTTTGGTTATATTATTTTTTAAACAGACTTTTTTCACATGCCACGGTGTACTCGAAAATTATATTTTTCCAACAAATTACAAATTATAGATACAATATGATCAAAAAAATTTATGATAATGAAATTACTTTAGATTTTTTTAACTGCAGTGTCCACTTGATCATAAAACTTTTTGATCACATCATACTATGACAAAAAAGACTTAATTCTGATCAAGCAGACTTTGCTTTATATGTCAGATAAACAATTCCTGTAAGAAATTGCATTTGATTTTTTTTAAGTGAGGAAGTCAAAGTTCCCTTGATCACAAAACGCTTATTTGATCGTACTTCAATGAATAAATACAGGGTGAGTCTTAATAAGTGCAAATATTTTTAGAGGTCGTATATTTCGACCACAGAAACACGCCTATGAGGTTTTTTTCGCGAAAAAAAGTTGGAAATCTGGAATTTTTGGATTTATTTTTAAATTTTTAGTTAAAAAAAACATAATATCTTCACAATATGGCAACATATATAGTAGTTAGAAAAATCATTTTTTTTTAAAAAATTTCAAAGTAAAATATCTCAGTTATTTTAGACTTATTTGAAAAACGGTAAAGATAAAATATGTTTCGTTTATCGAGATTTACCAGCCCTGAAAATATTTGTACTTATTTAACTCACCTTGTATACTTAGAGAGGCCCATTAATACAGTAATCAAAGTATATATACAGGGGCGAGTCTTAAATAAGTACAAATATTTTCAGGACTAGCCAGATCTCGATAAAAGAAATATATTTTCTCTTTGCTGTTTTTTAAATAAATCTAAAACAGCCGAGTTGTTGCTTTGAAAATTTAAAAAATATTTTTCTGCTTAAATTTTAAGAACCACTGGATCTTTAGTCTGTTTTTTTCCTTCCTCTGAATCTAATCTGCAACTTATGTTGCCATATTATCAGGATATTACGTTTTTTAACTGAAAATTTAAAAAAATAACATTTTTTTTCGAAATCTACAAAAATTTTAGCGAAAAAAAAATTCATAGGCGTGTTCCTGGGGTCGAAATATGCCAACCTAAAAATATTTGTACTTATTAAAATGTAACGTGAACAAATCATACATTTTTCTCAATCAAACATAAAATAGTGGCAAATAAGAAAACATATTTGACACGATCACGTTCACATGCGTGTATAGTCTGTCTAGCAAAAGAATATGTACAGGATGGGTCAAATTCGACGCTTTTAAATGGAAAACACCCTTTTCTATAGGAGATAGACAAAAACTAATATCGGTGTCTGGAGCTCAATTTTTGTCAAAAACATAATGGTGAAAACCACATATCGATATCTGTTACCGTTTCGGAGTTATGGGGTGTTTTTATTGGTTGTAAGTATAATTTTTTTTAAATTAATAATTTAAGAATTATCAACAGAAAATTTGATTTTTTATATGGGACACCCTGTATATTTTTAATTTATTGAAAATAATTTAAAATTACCTTTCCAAAAATATAACACACTTGATATTTTGCTCGATTCCTCTTCGAGATATAGAGTATATACAAATTCGCCCGCTTTAAATAAGTAGGCATTGAACGGCACCGGCTGTAATGCAAAAAAATTCTAGCTGTGAGCATCAATTAAAACATAAAATAATATTTGCTATGAGAGATGCAGAATTTTATAACAATTTAAAATATACTTAACCAACATCAACACATTTAAACTATATCTATTAACAATAAAAATAAATAGCAAACCAAGACATCAGATTTTGCTACAGGTGTTCGACATATCGACCCTCTTCTGTTATGGACAGACAGGACAGTTTTTGAAAATTTCTCGCGGAATTCATTTCACTCAGTGGGGGTGAAAGATACCCTCTCATAACTGCTAAGAATTTTTAATTCTTGTCTAGATTATACGGAAGAATAAGGAACCTTTATTCTTCCGCAAATATATCCATAGGATTAGATCTATGGGCAATAACTCAGGCGTCCTCGACGGCCAACGGCTGGGATCTTGGTTAGCTATCCAATTATTCTTGAAATTGGCTGCAAAAATTTGCCGCTAACTTCAGCTTTCAGAGGCGGTGCTGTTGTCTTGCTGGAAAAATATGTTTTCGAGTTCCATTAAGGGCATATCATCAATAAGGGGTCCAAAGCCTACTAGTTAAAAGTGGCGAACTTTTAAAAATTCTGTATTTCGAACAAAATGTCAAGTGTGCTATATTTTTGGAAAGGTAATTTTAAATTCTTTTCAGTTAATTCAAAATATAGAGGGTGTCCCAAATAAAAAATCATTTTTCGGTTGATAACTCTTAAATTATTAATTTTAAAATAATTATACTTAAACCATTAAATTCTACGTAAAATGGTGCTTTGAAAATGTTTTCATAGAAATACAAAATTTTAGTTTTAAGTTACAGCGATTTGTTAAAAATGCACGTTTTTGAAAAACACCCCGTAACTCCGAAACAGTAACAGATATTGATGTGCGGTTTTCACCATCATGTTTTTGACAAAAATTGAGCTCCAGACATCGATATTAGTTTTCGTCTATCTCCTATAGAAAAGGGGGTTTCCATTTAAAAGCGTCGAATTTGACCCACCCTGTGCATGGCAGTTCTATTAGAGTTTCTTATTAAATACTTGAAAAAAATAATCTTATTTTTTTATTAGAAAAACACCTACCCATCTGCAAAGTTTAAAAAACAAGAATGGTGTTTTTAATTCGTAGGCTTGCTTTATATGCAACCATCGTCTGTCGAAATTATATACTCTCTTGCTAGACAGACTATACTAAAAGTAAAAGTACGCATCAATTTGTGTCACATCAGTGTTATTCTTGTTTTAGATTATTGTAGTTTCATCTGAGAATCTCTCTTCTCTAGAACACCAATAAAACTTGAGTATTTTACTCCAACGAACTGAGTAAAAGCTTCACACCATTGTCTGAGCATCTAAAATACTTTACCCTTGAGTACACAGTCTGCGCGATATATTTTGCACCCTAATCCGCAAATTCACCAGCACATCACTGGCCAGACTATCGACGTTGACGAATTTACATTTCTGAAAATTAAAAATATCAGCTAGGAACCCCATCACCTGTTCCTTAAAGAAAACGCAAGTGTCCCTAAGCGATTCGTCCGAGCCTAGGAACCCCCAGGCCAACAAAGGAGAGAGCTGCTCGGAAATAGTGTAGAAATGCGCCATAAACCCGTCAGGAAATTTCAGTCTTCTTCTTTTGGCTTTGAGCACTGACCACACCGCGGTTGTGAGGGCCGTTTCCTTGAAACCGTTCGAGAGCCACCGGTTCTGGATGACGGCCATGACAGATGATGGTGGACTTTCCAAGTCCTCGAAGGCGTCCATGAGGATGTAGTCCAGGACTACGTCGTAGAAGGTCAGGGCTTTGACGCCTCTGGTGCTGAGTTCTTCTTCGAGGTCGCGCCAGTTTTTCGGGTCTTGGATGTAGAGTAGCATTTCTTCGTAACCTAAAAATACGAGGGTATTTTTGTGTACTCGCTATACAGGGTGTTTTTTTTAAAGTTCCTCATCCCTATGACTTTTTATTTTTTTTTTTCAAACAGAAAAAAACGAGAGTTTGCATGTTAGTATTTGACATAAATCAGGATTGATTGACGTATTCAATTATTTAATATTAGAACATTTAATAAGCTCAAGCAACTTCGCTTTTTAGTTAACTCGGATATTTTAACATTTCTGAAACTTAATTCTTTCTGAAACAATATTTTCTAATTGGTAAAACGTAAAAAAACGTTAGATCTGACAACTCTGTTGAAACTAGTCGTTCATCTGGCCGCAGCTAAAAACGCAATACATACGGCCATTAATTAAAATTCTAATAACAATCTATCAAAGAATGAAAACAAAATTATATCACCATATATAATCGCGTTTTAAGTTTAAGGACTTTTAGTAAAAACAATCAACTATATTTTCATGTCTTTTTTTAATTTTCTCTCAAATGGTATGGAAATTTGAAAAAGTATAAACGGGATTAACCATTTTGAAACAACCATTAACCTACTAACTATCAAAAATACAACTTAAAGTTAGATATCATTTAAAAATAAAAAGTTCTAGTGATTTGCTGTGAAACAGTAAGTGACCCAAAGTAGTTAAAAACGTTAATCCTGATTTATGTCCTCCAAACCAAATCTCGTCTGTCCAACGAGTTGTGATATTTCGACAGACGACTTCCATAAAATGACAGAAAATTCAATTTGTCTGTGAATTAAAATGACAGAAAACGAAGGTCACTGTCCTAAGCATCCTCTCGTCGGACAGGCTATTTCTATACCTATAAGAAAATCCTTTGGATCCTTGTCAGCGTACAGCATCAGATCCGCTAATATCTGTCTGCCGGCATCGGCAAACCATACATAAAGTGAGGGATCTTTGAGTAATTGCTGGAAAGCCAACCTAAGACAGTGCAATTTGGCCAGGTATTCGCCATCTGACCCGCATTTAACTAGTTCAGTCCTGAGAGTCCTGCAGGGAATGCCTCCATTTTCTAATTGTCTTAGAGCTAGTTGGTAGAGGGGGTAGGATTCTAGGTCAGGAAAGTAGTCGGCGAATTCCTCGAATTCTTTCAAATCGGCCACCTAGAAAAAAATAAATATTATTGAGGATGCCTGTTAAATAAATGCAAGTTGTTAAGAGTCTATTGCATTAGTTCGAAAAAGTAGCAAAATAAGCGTTCGGCATTTAACTTTTTATGTAAATTAGTTAGGTATTTTTACCACAATTAGTCCTGACACTGTTCGCAATAGATTAAGAGAGGTCAACTTAAGAACAGACGCCCCTGGAGAGCTCAACCCTTAACGAGAGGAAATCGAGAGGTACGATATTTGTGGGCTCAAGATCATGTTCAGTGGTCGAATGAACAATGGGCCAATGTTCTCTTCACGGATGAGTCACGCTTTAGAATTCATCCGGATTCGAGAAGGCTTAGGGTATGGAGAGAACCGGGAAATCTTATTCGGTTGGATCATGTTCAGGAAGTGCACCCTTATCAAGGTGGAACAGTTATGGTCTGGGGAGGAGTCCGGTTAGGCCGAAAAACCGATCTCGTTTTTCTTGAAAGGTTTCTAACAGGAATCACATATCGTGATTTAATTCTTGAGCCTGTCGTGTTACCATATGCCAATGATTTTGGGAGAAACTTCATTCTCATGCATGACAATGCACTACCTCATACAGCCAGAGTGGTAAGTAAGTTTATCAATGCTCATCAGTTAAACATCTTACCCTGGTCGGCACAATCTCCTGACCTCAACCCCATCGAGCAAGTATTGGGACGCGGTCAAAAGAAGAATTTTGAGAATGGGTATGCCTCGTGAAACTCGTAGGGATCTGGTTCGGGCCGTGAATGCAGCGTGGCAGCCTGTACCTCAAGAAGAGATCGACAACCTGATCAGGAGCATGGAGAGACGATGTAGGGCTGTAATGAATAGTAGAGGAAGCCATACCCTTTATTAAGTAAAAATGGTTTTATCTTTTTTTTTTAATTCACAGTTTAGAATTAAAAAAAATGTGTGTATTTTTTTGAGTTCAATAAAAGTCAAGGTAAATTTGAAAAATTCGGTAAATCTCGCATTTTTATTTCCAATACATCCTGTAAACTATTTGTTTATTTTAATTTTATTATATCAGAAATGCAAATAATAAAATTACTGACGATGGCTGGATAAAATTGTAATATCCCTAGACTTTTCCGGTGTGTGTATTTCCTTCGGCCGCACACCCGCTTTACGCGACCCTGAGAGTAACCCATAAGTACAGTGTAATAGACTCTTAATGATGAAAAAGTCAAAATGACCAGATTTTGACTTTACATTACTGAAATCAGTGAAAGAGGTTTAAACAGATTAATTTAGGCAAACTAAATTTAAAGAAAAACTTTGAAAATAATAAATAACTATTCTAAAAATTATTTTTATTAAAAATCAAACTGCGTGATCTTGAAATGACGTTCCCTTTTCCAATCTTACACCTTAGCAAGTGTTAAAAAATATCTAAATATAGTCGACTGATTCTTCTCACATGTTATGCGAGCGAGCGGACTTTAACAACATTTTTATTTATCTATTTATTAACTAACTGGACGAGATAAATGCGCTTTTATTAAATCGTCAACCTCAGTCAATTGTGACTGTGACATAGGTGTCTAAAAATACGTTAATATTTAAATGACACACAGTGACGTCACGAGAATATAATATAATGCTTTAGAAGGTTAACAACTTGTCTGTCTAATATCCATATTTCTCTATAAAAAGATGGTGTCAATGAGTCTAATATACAGGGTCCGGCAATAGTGAGTCGGTTCTCTGTAGCTCCTAGGGTTATCTGTAGCTCCTAGAAAAAAAAACTTGAGAATTTGGTTGAAGTGCCAAAGCATGTACTAGGATGTATTTCAGGAAAATATTTAACTTCTACAGGATGGCTCAAAAAAGTGTAAGTGAATCGGGATGATTTTTTTTTAAATGCAACATTATGTAAATCGCATAAAAAATAGAAAATAAAAAAGAATATTAAGAAGCTTACTTGATCTTGTGCTGATGCAAAACTTTCACCACCAGACAAATCCGTATCAATTCCATTCGGATCTTTGCTGCTTTCACGTTGAAACAGCACGGACCGTTCATCCAGAAACAGCATTTCTGAGTTTTCCTAAATCAAAAACACCATTAATATATTTTTATTGTATTGCATTCTTTGTGTTATGGTACTTGGAGTTCTATCGCTGAATCCAGAAGAAGTTGAAGATCTTTACAGAAACCTGTTTCTTCCGGACTGAGCATCGGCAGTGGTCCACCAGCGCCATCTTTTGATCGGTAGATCGCCAAAGCGTCCTCCCAGTAGCCTATGCATGCTTCCAAGGCTTCCATACCTTCAAATGAAAAAGAAATATTTAATTAGTATTGAGAGGCTTACTTATTTATGTACTGATATGATTTGGAAAGATATATTACCCAAAAACATTTAATAAAAATCTGTCTTTCTTCTCTATTTAAATAGTTACTTGATACTTTTGATTTAATACATTTTTTTGAGGTTACTAATCTAAAGAGGTTTATTTGTAAGAATTAAAAGGAACCGTGTGTAGAGATAAACTCCTTTATTTGATTTCTTTGGCGAAAACACTGGAAATTAAACGCTGGAAAGGAGAACGAACAAGAAGTTTCTTTAGTTTAACTTTCGCCTCACTGGAAAAGTTAGTTTCCTAATCCTGTCCAAGGAGCTAAAGGAGCTAAGTTTATGGTTATAAATTCTCAGGATTCCAGTCGACTGAATTTAAGAACTTCCGAGTTATTAAGAAATTAAGGAAATATTTTATTAAAACTGAGTTTGGTGGTAATACTTTCAACAAGGAAAATTTAGTTTTTTTTAACAGAACGATTAATTTTGAACCGAATAACTAGATTGAAAACACTGTTCAAAACACTTAAACTCAAACAACAAAATTCTGTAGGGTATAGGTAAATATAAAAACATTTATTTATTTATTCGTGTCCAACTCAGTATATGAAAAAAATCAAGAAACATAAAAATACATATATAAAATATACAAAACGGCCAAATTAATAAAAAGGTACATCATACATTTAAAAAAAAACATAGTCAAACAATCAACATTCATTTTTATTTTGTTATGTTTTTTTAACTGAAAATTAAAAAAAAATCGAATTTTAAGAATTTTCGAGCAAAAATAAGAATTTTTTTTCTTGAAACAAACCTCTTTTTACAACACCTAAAAATATTTGCACTTATTTAAGACTCACCCTGTATGTAAACACCTTCTGTCTGGGACTTTTTAACGTCCAGACAAAACGATATAAAAATATCTACAGGGTTGTCCACCACATACGACACGGAATATTGTAGCTAAACGATTAGATTTTTACAAATTGTAAGTTTTGGGTTCGTTGAAGGACTATTAGAGGTACAATTTAAAAATATTTTTACAAGATACAGAGTGTCCCAAATAAATAAAAAATATCAAAGTTGTATTTTTTTAAATGGAACACCCTATATATTATTGCATTTTTAGTTTCTACGATTAAAATAAAGATAAATTTGATTAAGGTTTATTACACTTAAACCTTACCGTTTTTTAAATATTTTCAATTTTGTAAAATAGCAATATAAATTTTAAGGCTTCATTTCTCCGAGGGTATTAAAGTTTCTAATACTAAATATTTACTGAAGTTTATTTATTGATCAGTTATTGTGTTGCAATAATAAAAATTATACTACCTTATACAGAGTGTCTAAAAACTTATTTTAAATAATTACTAGCTTTAAACGGCAATAACTTGTTTAATTTAAATGGAATACTCTGTATATTTTATGAGAATCAGATGCACAATTTAATTGTCTATCAAATTGTATTATACCACTTTTTACCTATCCTTTCAAGTTTTCGTAGAAAATGCATTTTCTTATAACTTAGACCTCATTTATCAATATACCCATGGAATATTATTTTAAAGTTTTTTTATTTTTTTAATGAAATAAACGAACTATATTGACCATATTAGTATCTGTACTCTTTAAAAATTTGGAACATCTTTAAAAATAATCTAAAATGTCAGTATTCCATGGGTATACTGACATAAATGAGTTCTAAATTACAAGAAAATGCATTTTCGACGGAAGCTTGAAGAGATAGGTAAAAAATGGTATAATACAATTTGATAGACAATTAAATTGTGCATCTGATTCTCATAAAATATACAGGGTGTTCCATTTAAATTAAACAAGTTATTGCCGTTTAAAGCTAATAATTATTTAAAATAAATATTTAGACACTCTGTATAAGGTAGTATAATTTTTATTATTGCAACACAATAACTGATCAATAAATAAACTTCAGTAAATATTTAGTATTAGAAACTTTAATACCCTCGGAGAAATGAAGCCTTAAAATTTATATTGCTATTTTACAAAATTGAAAATATTTCAAAACGGTAAGGTTTAAGTGTAATAAACCTTAATCAAATTTACCTTTATTTTAATTGTAGAAACTAAAAATGCAATAATATATAGGGTGTTCCATTTAAAAAAATACAACTTTGATATTTTTTATTTATTTGGGACACTCTGTATCTTGTAAAAATATTTTTAAATTGTAGCTCTAATAATCCTTAACCGAACCCAAAACTTACAATTTGTAAAAATCTAATCGTTTAGCTACAATATTCCGTGTCGTATGTGGTGAACAACCCTGTATAAAAGTAAAGTAAATATTTTCAAAATACCTTGTTCCAGTCTAAAACATTTCCAAAAAAAATGCTCTTTCAAAGAATATTTTTTAACAACTTAAAAACCAAGGAAAAAATAAAGGCGAAGGAAATAAACAAGCCCAGAATAAACAAGATACTTTACTCGATATATTTTAACAGAAAGTGTTCTTAGAAACGATACTCCTATAAGCTTGCAGGGTGCAGCCTCGTATACAGTTTTCTGACCCCTGAATGCAAACAAAATGATAATTTTCCACAATATTATCGTAAAATGCATACAGTTACAGTTTGACAAATATAGGAAGAGACTTGGGGATAGCACCGGTCGCGCACACGATAGAGAGAAAACGCATTCGGCGGAAGAGAGATGCAGTTACGCTACGACAAATCTGATTGAAGCAAATTTGTGTGCTGTCCACTGCGCATCGAGGGGCGTCTCTTATTTTATATTTCTCACGTCTCTAGCTATACTTGTTAAGTTGTACCTGCTTTTTGCGCTTTTTACTCACTTGTCTTAAAGCATCTCGTCTCATAGTTGTTATTGTACTGAAATTTGCACAAAATAAATAACAACAAAGATCTTAATGTTCGAAAAATTTCGTTTTAATATCACATCAAAAAATGGAGAGGAAGTTCCTATGATTTTTTTAATACGATTTTTAGCGTTTATAAAAAGATATCTCTATCTATTTTCCCAAGTTCATTTTTATATCTCTTATCTATTTTACAGGGTGTCACAGAAATATGTGCAAGTATTTTAAGGAGTGGTAGATCTCGACAAAAGAAACATATTTTCTCTTTATCGTTTTTCAAATAAGTCGAAAATAACAGAGTTAGTTATTTTACTTTGAACATTTCCCAAAAAAAAATGATTTTTTGCTCAAATTTGGAGAACCACTGGATCTTTTCTGAATTTTCTTTCATGTAAATTAACTCTACTACCTACTATCTATGTTGCCATATTATCAAGAAATTATGTTTTTTAACTTAAAACTAAAAAAAATCAAAATTTTCAATTTTTTTTCACAAAAAACCTCGTAGGCGTGTTTCTGAGGCCGAAATATACTACCAGTTAAAATACTTGCACTTATTTCTGGGACACCCTGTATAAGAATCATTATTTAATTGTTTGTGTCACGTTATAAGGATTTCAATATTAGTCCAATCACTTCAAAAACATTAATTTGTTTCTACTTCTTTCTTGTAAATTTAATCTACTACCTATGTTGATATATTATCAAGAAATTATGTTTTTTAACTAAAAACTAAAAAAAATTCCGAATTTTCAAAATTTTTTTTTTCGCTAAAAAAACTCATAGGCGTATTTCTGGGGTTGAGCTATACTACTAGTTAAAATACTTGCACTTATTTCTGGGACACCTAGTATAAAGTTCTCGTGTCTGTTTTAGTGACCATACTCCTCCGAAATGGCCTGACAGATTTTGATGAAATTTTATATGTATATTCAGTAGGTCTGAGAATAGTTTGTTATTTATTTTTAATACCTCTAAGTGATAAGAGTGGTCCACCCCATTTTTTTATTTTCTGGACATTTTTTTTTATTTTTTTATGATGTGGCATTAAAAGATTCATACAATCCTAAATTTGCACCCTTCTACCATCAACCCTTTTTTTAATAGCGATATTAGTAATTCAATCTTTTTCAACTCCTTGAATATAAATATTAAATGACTGATATTTTGTCTCATAAAAAAATATTTATATGGCAAAACAACGTTTATCGGGAACTTTTGAAAAAAAGGCCAAGTAAGTGCAAATTTACATCAGTTACACATTCCGTTTGATCATCGATGCTGTAAAAGATAGCGTTCGATCGAGTGACTCGCAAGCCGCCATTTTTATAGTCATTATTAAAATACGAATACCCGTCTCTAAAAAACCTCATTACCGCCCAACGAGTTCATCGCCATTTTCCTTAAAGGGCATTTAACAAGCCCAAAACATTTAATCGAAAATAAAATCATAAAAATGCAAATCGACTTGTTTCAGCGTAGTGATGTAACGATAAGAGTAAATTCTCGATAACTTTCTTTCGATATCAGGTGTTTTCGGTATCGATACTTTTTCGCATCGACCAGTGATTAGTAGGTCAAGTAAGCTTCATTCAGAACCTTGAAGAAGAATAAATAAGTGGATTCAATTAGTGGAGAAGTTTGTCCCTCTAATTTCAATGTAAGCCATTCAGAAAGGCAAAATTATTGGTAGTAATTTTCAATTAGTATTATTCAATAGTAAGTTTATTGTTTTATAAGCTAATTATTAGGTTTTCTCTATGGAATATGGATACACTTATCATATCTTTGGATAATTAGTCCATGAAGTCCTAACTTAACCAGAAGTCTTCAAAATAAATTTAAATAAGTATTTTGAATTGTGTATATGAAACATCATTCCCAAGATACGTCAAATCTTTGAAACCAATACAAGTAAGTGTCGATACAATTACCAAGTAAAAGTATCGATACGTCAGTGGTAACGATTCATCTCTAAGCTCGAATGGTGTGGTCGTGTATAGAGTCCAGGATTTATACACCTTTTATTTCTATATCCTCGTATTTTGAGGTATGCAATTAAAATCACATTTTCTGATATGGAGTCATGAAAAATCGTTTATGTCTGCTAT